AATAAACATTTGAACATAGAAAAAACATTCTTTTGCATTTTTCCTAGCACTTTTTCGTGAATTTTTGCTATTTTTGACCTGTTTTTTGAGGTTAGGAGGGTTTTGTGTGGCTATGCAATCAAATTAACGAAATAGGTAGTTTCGTCATGAGACAATATGAGCCACAAAAGCGTAGGTACGTAACTACGGTTTCGTTATTGTTTTGTTTTTTAAATTTTCGTTTAGTAGGAAAATCAGAATCACAAATGTTAACGTTAAGGAAAAATACATGATAACATTTTTTTTTATTTTTATTATTAAACTATGAAACAAGAAAAACAATAAACAAAAACAAAATAATGAAAACAAAAATATAAACTCTTAAAATATACACAAAATTCAGTTAGTAGGGCCTGGGTAAATCAAAGATCGGCGAGGATGAGGAGTGGCAAACCAGTCATTTAAAATAAGAAATCAAAGTGTAGGATACTGAAAAATTTGTTTCTATAGATATTAGTTAAAAAGAGTAAAATTTCTCGACGGAACGGGTGCGAGCGGGCCCTTGAGGCCACCGGGCCCTGAAGCGCGCGCCTCATGAGCCTCACGGTTAATCCGGCACTGTTTATACCCATCATCCTTAGTACCATGAAGAAAATTGATTTGAATTTACGATCAAGACAGATGTTACCAACTGTGGACCAATGGTTCCCTAGGTTAGTAAGGAAAACTTGTAGGTGGACGATTTTAGAAAGAGGAGGACGATGTAAACAGTTGTAAAACTAATGATGATCACACTAGAAAAAGCAGGTAAATAAAAAAATGCTCATCACTAAAAATCAACCTGTTTTCGTTTTCAAACCAAGAAACGACTTAAATATTTAAATACATAACCAGGTAAATAAGCAAGCAACCGAAGAAATAATAAGTAAATACTTAAGCGAATAAGTGAATAAGTGAATAAGTGAACAAGTTATTAAGTAAATAAGTGAATGAGTAAATGAGTGAATAAGTGAATAGGTGACGAGGATAATAAGGTGAATAAGAGAATGGTGAATAAGTTAGCAACAAGCAAGTGAACAATTGAACAAGTGAATAAGTGTATAAGTGGATAAGTGAATAAGTGAATAATTGAATAAGTGAATAAGTGAATAAGTGAATAAGTGAATATGTGAATAAGTGAATAAGTGAATAAGTGAATAAGTGAATAAGTGAATAAGTGAATATGTGAATAAGTGAATAAGTGAATAAGTGAATAAGTGAATAAGTGAATAATTGAACTAGGGAACAAGTGAATAACTGAATAAGTGAATAATGATTAAGTGGATAAGTGAATAAGTGAATAATTGAAAAGTATATAAGTGAATAAATAAATAAGTAAATAAGTAAATGAGTAAATGAGTAAATGAGTAAATGAGTAAGTGAGTAAATAAGTAAATGAGTAAATAAGTAAATAAGTAAATAAGTAAATAAGTAAATAAGTAAATAAGTAAATAAGTAAATAAGTAAATAAGTAAATAAGTAAATAAGTAAATAAGTTCTAAGTTTGGACACTTTTTTTCATTAACTTTTAATTATACTAGAATAGATTTTGGTTTATAACTATATAAGTATAGGAAATTTTTTCTATTTATATTTATATATTTAGTATTCAAACGAATAATCAATCAAATATAATAAAAAATGGTAATAGGTAATTCTGAAAAAAATTTATTTTGTACCTCTTTTTGAACTGCTTTATTTAATTTGCTAATTGGGTCAAATAATATATCCGCTGTTGAACTATGAAATATTCAAATAAAAGATGCATGACTGAAGATGATCAAAAGGCCAGCGAGTGATTCTAATTGCTATTTACGCCAACGATGTATTACCTGTAGATGAAATAGAGTGGAAATAATTACATAAAATGACTACTTAAACCATTTCACCAAAGATTTATTGTAACTTTGTTGTTCACCGGGTGTATCAAAGAATACTAATAGATTTAATAATGTTCGAGTTATTTTTAATATGTAGCCTAAACCTTCAGAATTACTTTTTAGCTAAATTTAATTCACGTGTTAGAGGTCAAAATTATTCATTCATTAATAATTTTTTTTTATTTTAAATAAGATATCAACAGTTGAATGTAAATCAATTCGTTCACCATATATTACAATTATAAATATTAATAGGAAAACGTTAATCGTTTCCCTCACCTTCTTTCTTTATCTTATTATACATAATTATATTTAATAAAGAAATAATTTCGATTCATTCATTTTTCACTTTGTTTATTTTAGGGGAAATCTTAGGGCAATTTCAAGTTCTTCGAAACCGATATACTCATACTACAATTGGGACCTCTAAAAAGTAATTCAATTAATTGTACAATCAATTTTGAAGTATCGTACGAAAATTCTAGTGAAACAACTCTGTACTTTGTATTCTTCTTACTAACTAGCTTCAGCGTCTACTACTGAGGTTAATTCTGTTCCTTTATCGGTGTTGGAAATATATGAAAATACCCATTTTGCTAAACAAATACCGCACCACTAATCCGTTTACCCAATTTTAGTTTGTACACATTAACTTGAATTAAATGACTGAAAAAATACATTATTGTAAAGTCACATTTAATTTCTGGCCCAATAAAAATGTCTTAATACAGCAAATTATGTTTTATTTTGCGTTTTATTACAACCAATAATTCAAATATGTAACTGCACTTGTGCGGAGAATATAAATAAGTTAATTAGCAATATAGGTAACGCGGATTAGTCCATCGCAAGCATACCAACTGGTGTGATCGTTGGCAATGAAGCAGCAATTGAGGCAGTTCATATTAATGAGGATGTTAACGTTATAGCACTTACAACATATATATCTTAGTTTATTTGATTACTTTATAGAATACAGGATGTTGCAATAATAATCAGTTTCTACATACAAGGTGATAACTTATAAATATATTTAGCAAAAGTGTTAATATATGACATAGGTAGGTACTTACGTTTAGATTTAGCCAAAAGTCTGTGAGAGCAGTACAACATCGTTTGTTACATTAAATTTTCATATTTAGATGTCACATTATCTAGTAAATATAAAGTGAAGGGAATGTGCTAATTGTAAAACTGTATCGTAGGTAATCGTAAAACTATATTCTAAATTGTATCTTTTTATGTACTGAAAAAATGTAATGTTTCTAAATAAAGTGTTTTACAAAGTAGTGCTCATCAAATTATTGATTGAAATTTTATTTCAAAAGAATTTATACTACTTAAATATTTCTGCAAAGTATTTTTTGGTATATAGAAATATGTGTATGTGTGTTATAAAATGAATCGGATTATTTCATATTAGTGTTAAAAGAGAAGGGGGAAAAAAATAAAATCCCCTGCATTTTTGGAATAAAATGGAAAACATCTTTTTTCCAAAATTCAGTGCAGCGAAGTTCTGAGGTTCTCAGTAAAGATCTCTCACATTTCCTAGAAAATAGTGGGCTTCAAGGCCAGGGCAAGAGTCCTTTGCAGAAAAGAACGAATGAATTTCTGATCTTGAATAAAATTCGGCTCAGGAAATACGGAACTTATAAGGGGACATAGTAATTTTAGGAAACATTTATACAAGCTAAGGTTTGTAGACAGTCCGGTCTACCGAGGATGTGACTAGGTCGATGAAACTTATTTGCATATCCTGGGCGAGTAAGAAAACCCGTTCTAGAACCCAAGGAGCTGAGACAAGTGACAACGAGGAAGGTTTTGGACTTTGTGTCTCGAAAACGAAGCATTTTACGTTTATACATTCTACCACAAAGTAAATTTTAAAATATCCTGAATAATTGTATATTAGATAGTAAATTAAAACATTCTAATAAAAGCACAACAGTTATAGGTCCATCTTTATTTATTCCAAAGTTACAGGTTAAAAATTATTTAAACTAACATAAAAACCGGTTAGTCAAATAAACGTATCTAAGAATAGCAAGTCTGAACATAAATTTCAATTATATTATCTTTTTTTATATTCATGTGCATCATTTCATAACTTAATAGAATAAACAAAATCAATAAGACATTGCTCATTTCGTCATAATTATAGTATTTGCCATTAGGTGGCAACGAGAATGCTAGAATCGACAGTAAAACAGAGAAAGCAGTCAGTTTCGTCAAAACAAAAAAAGTTATAGGGACTAGAGAGGTCATAATTCTAAAAGTACCATTCAGTATATAAATTGTTTCCAAGGTTATGGGGATATTGGGCTTATAAGGTTATGGTGGTCTCTGATAAAGGGTTGATGTATAATAGGTTTAATGAGTTTCCAATTCTATGGTTTTGTTATGATGTTATAGGGGTTGATGTTGAGACTTCAAGGAGGTTATAAGCGTCTGATTTAATACTCAAAAAGATCATTGAAAATTATGGTTATATAAAATTTCAACGTAATCTTCTACAATTAATGTGTAACGTTTAAAATCATAATAAAAAGGATTATAATACTCACCTAAGTGCAACTTTTACGTATAGGTATTTCAGTGCAATCAAATAAAGTATCAGTTGTTTGTAGGTTTGTAGATTTAAAAATATCTATGTTAGCCCGTTTTCTGTGGTTTTTTGTTTGTTGTTTTCCGTTGCATTTGAAAATAGCCAAGTGATAATATAGAGTTGTTATTAGTACCTAAATAGTTCAGTGTTGTTAAATATTTTACTTTTGTCTTTTTTTATGCACTCTTTTGTGGGAACGCTGATGAATAGGCAACCAACAATACAATAACATGGAGAGATTCAATAATCTTCATACCTACTATTTCTACGATGTATGTCCTAGCACCTATTTTTATTGCTATTTTCTTCATAAGAACTTCGAACTAGAGTATTTTGAAAATTCTTAAAAGATTGACGTATTTTACCAAAATAATTTACTGGAGATATCAAATTTCAAATGAAAAATAACACTATGTATTAAACGGACAATTTACGGAATAAAATTTTACATTAAAAAAAGTTAATTTTACTGTGAATGGTTAAATCAAATGACCTGAAAGAAATAATTGATATTTTTATTATTATACTCAAAATTATGTCATTATATTATACACAAGAATCAACCAAGCAACGTGTTTGAATGACCTTTTTGTAATATGCAGCGGAAGTTTTAGGTGTCCTGGTCCTGTTGGGACTATTAAAGTCTACTTTGTAAAGACCGAATTTTTCCCTGAAATGATAAATAGATTTGTTAAACAAAATAATAAAAACTCTAAAGAACCTTACAAAAAAAGAATAAAAATTATGAAAATATAAGCAGAGTGAAAAACAGTAACATCGTTGCTATAAATTAATATGAAACAATGAATGTCTAGTAAAAAAATATATAGTGGTGACATTATGGAACCGACGAAATGAAATTTTTTATGTAGGAATTTAATATTTAAATTTTCGTTAAAACAGGTATAGGTAGGTATACATTTTCTACTATATTTTACAGAAAATATATCATAATATGCTATCTGCTAAAATTGCTATACATTTTCTCGGTTTCTAACGTTGAAAAAAAGTGGATATTAACAAAATAATAAATGACATAATTTTAGGATATTTAATGACACTAATTTACTGATTTCTCTGGAGTCACATTCAAAATATTAAGTATACAAAGTATCCTATTTAGAACTTAAGACAACTTTTTCTATGGTTAAATTATATTAATAATACAAAAAACTTTCCAATACAAATTGCAGTAAATTAATTTTTTTATATTTTAAAATAATTTTCGATTTTAAACTGTACTCGATTTCTTCTGGGTATATTACTGCATTTTTGAATTTGAGGTTTAGTAAATGACATTTACAATATCCTCGAAGATATTAAATATGTATATCCAAAACTTCTTGATCAGAAAATACTGTTATCATCATTCGCTCAAGCATGCATAAACTTATCTTAATGGCACTTGCAGGCCGGTCCAAGCTTCAGGTTTTTGAGTTATTTTGAAAAAAAAGTAAAAGCGGCGTTATCGAAAATTGTCTGTAACTTTTTTATTTAGAGGAATTTTTAAAATCTGAAAACACTCTTTTACAGCAAGTTTTTTTCGAGGAATTTCACTATATATCTAGTTTTTCATTGCGACGTTTCTGTTGCGAGAAACCATCATCAACTCTCTGTTTTTTTTTCTGGGCGCCGCGCCGTATTGAATTTTAAACTGAGCAAATAGAGCATTTTTTTGGCTTTTCAATGGTATAATATAAGTAAGAAAAAATTATAAAAACAACTTCAAAAATCAATATTTTAATATTGTTGCCCAAAGCGTTAAACATTACGCATCACAGTAGGTTTTGGTACTTAAGAAAAGTAGTAAAAAAAATAATGTTGATAGATGTCATAACAAATTGATCATAATCATTATTGTAATCAAAATAGTAAAAATACAGTCCACTAAACAGAATACAATATCTTTAATTCAACATACAATCAATCCCAAGCTGCAAGAGCCCACAAGACGGGTTTGTAGCCAACAAATATTTTTTATAAATCTGAAATTCCTCGAGAAAACCTGTTGTGAAAAAGTATTTTCAGATTTTAAAAATTCCTCCAAATAAAAAAATTACACACGATTTTCGAAAACGATACATTAACTTTATTTCAAAATTACTCAAAAACCTGAAGAGCTAGGACCAGTCTGCAAGCTCCATTAAGTTAGCAACAGAACTGTCTAAAACTCTCCCCATTTAACCATTTTCCTATCTCTTATAGTTTCCAAGATATCGATACACGCATCACCAAAATGGTCAACACTGTATATTCCAAATAGAGAAATAGTTGTTACGCATTTCAGAAGTTCTAAGTCCTTGTCTAAGATATTTTGATTTTTTATGACCATATTAACCAATTTTAAAACAATTAATAAAAAGAAAGGACGCAAATTGTTCCAAATGTGTATTGTTTTGCTCAACACATGTCAAATATGTTTCGTACACTTTTGGTGAACACTGTGCAAAACCATACTTATCGTATGAACTTCGACGTCACCTGTTACATTAGTGTTGTATAATAATGAAAACGTAATATTGACAGTTGGTAGAAGGAAGCACAAAAACAAGCGCTTAGGTGGAGAATTCTGAAAGGAAGCCTAGATAGTTGAGGTGAGAACAGCGCAGAGTGAAAAGTAAGACGATCGGTGTATGGTGAAAATATATGAGTAGTGAAAAATTAAATTGTTTAACCGGTATTAGTTAGCAGGTAATTATTCTCTAAGTACTTTGTTGTTAATTGTTCTATGTAATCTTATTATTGTGATGATTATAGACGTTTCATGATAATAATTCTGTATATGTTTAGCCTTCATTGTCTTATGCTCAGGGGCGTATATTTTTCTAACGTAAAATTGTTACAATTATTATTAAAGATTGCTCATTATTTATTACATGTTAAAATATGTACATATATATATATATATATATATATATATATTGTCGTGACTACCCGGATATTGCAATAACAACTCCTTTGTTTCACATTTAACTTATTTTATCATGATTACGTTGTTCGAAAAACAAAAATAAAGCATTTCTTGTGCTCACTTTATGTCATACGCATATAAGAGCCCTGTTGAATTTACTAACATTTTCGCCCGTGAGGAATGAATCTGTAAAAAGAATAATTGAATACAAAAAAAGAATTGCTCTGGATTGTTGTTATTATTGTTGTTATTATTACCTTCCGGTCCTGCCGACTAACACCAAACCTCTTCAGTTTTACTTGGAAGTGTGTATGTCTAATTCGAATGAGGTGATATTTAGTGAGACATTAAATGAGTCGGACGTTAATTATCATTAGCAAAGGATCCTAATTTATGCCTTTTATTGTCGGTTGTTTTGTATTTATATTTGGGTAGTTAGAGCAACAATCGTTAGTTTCTCTGCCATGCTCTTTCCCCACAGGAACTCTAGGTGAGCCTGGCACTCTCATTTTATGTTAAATGGTTGTTAATGTTTTTGTTGTTCTTTCTATTTGTCACTTGTTTAATTTGAAGACTGTTGTACGTAAATAATAAAGTTAGGTGTATTTACTCTGCTTTTGTTTTATAAAAAAATTAAACCATACTTCCCCTCTTCAAAGTTAGTAACCAGCGCCTTCCGGTCAATTAAAAATAGATGTATACAACGTAGGTATTCCTTATGACGATCACATATTTCTGGCCACAACTACGTTTATATTATTTTTTTCGATCGAACCCAGGGTTGTTATACTACAACACTATTGACATTTTAGGTATATCTCAGAAAGATAGAAGAAATATACTGTGCTTTTACTTACATATTGATCATTATCCCACTAAAACCTTGATTGGGATAACTAATCAAGATCGCTAAATAGTGGAAACGTAATTATTTTTCTTATTTTGATTGCAACAGTTTTAAAGGGAAAATAACGGCAAAAAATATAAAAAAGAATCCGTATTATGTGGAAATCTGTACCTTCAAATGACCACGATAAAAATCGCATATAAAAATTATATCTTCATATAGAAATTTGACTTTAAACTCATACAATTCAATATACTTACGTATATCCCGCGTACCATTCGAAGTTATCCATCAAACTCCACGCTGTGTAGCCAATTACATTGGCTCCGTCTTCCATGGCACTTCTTACATTACTAAGATAATCCTGGAAAGAGAGATTCATATAAAAAACATGCTACTATAAAAATAGCATTCAATCATTTACCCTATAGTAGTTAACTCTGACTGTATCATCTACATCACCATAATCAGATACACCGTTTTCGGTTATTAAAATGGGTGGATCATTGAAGGTTTTCGATATCCAGTTCAATAATTTTCTCATGCCCCATGGTACTATCTGGAAAATAATGATGAAGAATGAAATAAAAAATACAATGTAAGATTAGATTAGAGAACTTGAATATAAACGTTTAATGCCCAAGGCATTTTACGTTAAATAAACTAGTTTGAAAAATACAAATTTAAAATTACACGAAAATGTTATCCTTGGTTATGATTCATTGTGGAATTTATACTCTATTATAAAGGTATTAAGTCAATTCAAATATATTAAAAAATTTTCTTCTAAAATAATCTTGTCAAATGATGTCAAACAATGTTCTTCAAATTCAGGAATGAAATAAGAATCCTAACTGCTGATAAAGGGGGAAGCAACTACTCTTTGGGAATTGTCGAATGTTTGAATTAGCTTTACAACAGAGTAAAAATAATAATAAATTATATGTTTTTTGAAAAAAAAATTAGAAAAAGGGGCTGGTATTGGTAGAAAAGAAAAAACAATTCACAGAATCTATCATATTCAACATTTCTGACGTTTCGAATGTAATATTCTCTAAAAATTTTGTTTTTTTTTTATATATACCTAGTTTTGCTATGTTAATGTTAATTAATTCCATTATCAAGGAGGCTACTTGATGAAACAATCCTCAGTAAAATGTGAAAACAGAAAAGATCTCTTTGTAGTAACTGTTTTTTACGAGACTGGCCTTTGTCAAGTGTGAAGTGTAACAAAATATGCAAGATATTTCTTTGAATGATTACAATATTTAACGATTTCAATATATCAGGTATGTGTTTTTCTATTAATTATATTTAGGTATAATTTTTAGGTTTTTGATGGTGCAATTCAATGCTAGTTGGGGCATGTCTCATAGAATAGTTGTTCCTGCGATATCAGCAGTTGGCTGTTGGGCTGAATATCTTTTGCATGCCTAGATTTTTGCTATCGAAGAACATTGTTGATTTTACTTGACAAGACTTTTTAGAAGGGAATTTTTTATTTTGTTCGAATTAGTTTGACACATTTTACATTAGAGTAAAAATACGAGTTCTAACAATAGAATATACGGTTTTTAAAAAGAAACTCATTGCGAAAAATGTTTGAGGAAGATGACAAAAAAAAGTAGCCTTTACCAATGAGTAAAAATGAAAGAAGAAACATAGGGCGGTGCTCATAAATACATACCACAGATAATAAAGCTTCCAGACCGCTACTGGAATAGGACAGCAGTTTTAAATTTCCGAATTGCCGATAGAGGACATCACCAACAGAATTTTAGGAAGAAACAAATGCAGCAGCCGACATTCCTACGCGTATCCTTACTATCGTAGCAACGCATAAACAACAGTTTGGCAATGTTGTCACGCGTACGCTCGTATTTATTTTGTACACTTATTTATCAATGCCTGTTTTTTACGTTACTGTATTTACTTAAATGTATGATGTAGGTATTAACAAAAATGTTTTAGAGAATCAACGAATACCTACTTATGTAGTCAACTTCAGATGATCGGATATTCTGCAGTAGTGTCACAGTTAGGTTATTTAATCATAATTTTGTTAATTAGCTACTATTTTAATTTTTTGGTATTGAAATACTGCAGAAAATATAAACAAAATTCATAATCATATTTTAAACAGCTAGTAATATAATTCTTTTAATATTTGATGATGTCATAATTCTTATAAACATAGGTATTATATTATATTTAGCATTTAATACAAATGTCGTTTTCAAATAAAAGATATGTTCCATATAACTCTCCAATTACATAGTTAAATGCATTAAATATATTTGTATGCTCAGTTAATACTTGGCAACAAAGCCACCGCAAGATCTGCCTCCTATTTCCGAGCAGAAGAGTTACCACGCTAAATTATATTACTGGATGCCAGCTAAGGAGACCCTGCATCCTCTTTGGGTTGCCAATTTCCAGCACTTAACACGCGGTCTGGAGCGATAAGCTATATTGTATGTGGATATACTAAATTTTAGTAGTGCTATTATTTGTTAGTAGAATATTAGTGCTCATAAAGTACTATCAATATTAGTAGTTCTTAATATTACCTATTTGTAAACATTTTAGTGGTACTTTGGGACGATAAAGTTTATCAATATAATAAATATTGTTTTATATTAAATGAAAAATGGATATTCGAAAAATGAACTGCATATAATAATTTTCAAATTAATTCAGCTAATTGCAATAGCTATTCTCACTACAACATGGCTGTGAAACTCTACAAGGTATAATAATAAATTTGATATTTTCTACAATCTCTAACTTATTTCTTTATCTAACTACAAAAGTTACATTTCATATATTTTTAAATTGTTTTATGTTATGAATAAAATTATGCATTTTTTTAGGTATAGGTGAGGATGATGATGAACTAGACCTACAAGAAAACTTATTTAGACATTAGAGAACAGTTTAATTAATTTAATTTAATTTTTATTCAATTTCAAATTGAACACAGAACAGAAGGTAAAATCATAGAACACGGTTGTATTAATGAAGATCTTTTAACTTGATTGACGTTTAGCTCAACTAAGTTTGTCCCCAGAAATCTTCCGTTAAATTGTGGTCTTAATTTTAACGTGTCTGTATTATTAGATTAGATTTAGAATTACATACTATTAACAACTTACCTTAAGCCAACCAGAAGCAGCTGTTTCCCAGTCGCTGCGCTGATACTCATTCACACTTACGTCATTATAAAAACTAGTTTGGCCGATTGGAAGATCGTCGATGGCTTTTACCATAGATGTAGAGTAAGTGTTTAAACCAAGGAAATCATGAGTACCGCGGATGTAAGCTACCTCTTCCGATGTGAAGGTGGGGAGGCGAGATTCACTCAAACCTTCAGCGGTACTGCGTGCGGCTATGCGAGTTTTCATAACTTCTGGATAGTCTCCGATGAAAATGGGGTGAATGTACCAGCCAAACTGAAATTAAAGTATTGTTGATTAAAACTAAAACGATATACATCTATAATTAAAAATAAATATCAGATTGTAGAATGAAAACATATGGAGTGGATACACCATCCTTTTCCAACATTAGTCTACAAATAAGTCTGTACAGTTTTGAAGTTTTGACATTGTATCGAAAAAATTGAACACACAATCTTGCCCTTATAATATTTCATATAATTTTATATGTACCTCAAACATTCGCTTTCTTTCGGTGGCTTCTTCATCTTGAGCACTGTTACTGTCGGGTTCATACCAACTCGTATCGATGGTAATGGAAACCTTGCCTAAAAAGGACCTGTCATGAAAACATCTAAACAGACCGACTTGACTTACCGTTTTGAGTGGCTCTAAATTCCTGATCGTAAATGTGCCAGGCCTTCGCATGCGACTTTAGAACGTTATGCGTACACTTATATTCCGCAACTCCGGGATTTTGCAAGGCCGGAGCTTTGCTTCCATCGGCGTATCCTCCTAGACATGTCTGTTTCGGTTCATTGAATGTCAACCAGTATTTCACATCACTTCCGAACAACTCGAAGCAGACCCTAGCATAGTCAGCAAATTTGTCTACTATGAATTCATCAGGCCAGCCTCCTTGGTCCTGGAAGACTTGAGGCAAGTCCCAATGGTACAAAGTTACTAGTGGTTCAATGTTGTTGTCTTTTAATTCTTTTATAAGATTACGATAGTATGTCACTCCTGCTAAGTTCACTACGTCGGCGGTACCTGAATATTAAAAAACATTTAGAACATTCACCATCTCAAAGTTCGGATCATGAACAGTCCATCTTATTTGGGTATTACTTGACAACTTTTTTGAGAGAAATATACTGGTTAATACAATTTGTTTCTATCGTCTTTGAAGCGACCAGAGAACGATTGAGTGTCACTTTTTCAAGAACTCCACGGTAACGGTTTAAATTCCTCCTCTGATAACATTCCAAAAACTGGATCCCAACTATCTTCAAAATCAAGTGCTTTCGGAAAAAAAGAATGAAAAATGTGCCATAAGAAGATATCAAAATATATCGAACACACATGGGTTTGTCGCATCTTCTGCAAGAACTGAATTTGTGGCGGATGCAATAAAGGATAAGAAAATACACCTTCCCAATTTTTTTTAATTTTTTTTTACATAAATAAATGTTACTGATAACTGTTCGCTGCCAGCTAGTTATTATTATTTTATGAGATTTTCTAAATAAATTTACAATACAAGGAAGATTAAAACTTGTTTGATATGAGGTTGGTATCTATTGATTTTAGGTAGAGTTATAATATTTGGTAATATACAGGGTGTGGCGTGTATAATCTATAAAAATTAAACTTCAGCTTCCTAACGATATTTGTAATACAAAAGTTTTATACGATAAAGTTCTATTTTTGCGTTTCTTTTTCGTAAATTTAAGTTCAATTATGGATCAAAATATTTTCTCTGGAATGGTCCTGTCCCTGTGCTGTACGATGAGTTACGTGCTGTAGACCAGCCGCGTAAATAAATCGTCGTTGAAAGATAGGAGGATACTTCTCAATTTTTGGGGAATTTTTCAATGCAAAAGTACAAACTAAGAAAAATAAGATATTTAAAAAAAATGATATTTTCTTATTATAATAATTAATAGTAAATACTATTTTAAATGCATTGTTGTTACTGCAAGAGTTCCCAAACAAAACCACATCCGTAAGCATCTGTAGTTGCCAACTGCGTGCACTAAAGAAACTCCACTAAAATGTGGAACAAAATGATATAAAGCTTACCATTTCTAAAGAAAATATTGAAATTGATCTTCATTAGCGTGGATACAGGCATGTCACCGACGCACCCAATTTTGGCGAATATTTTCCACAAATTCCAGGTATTCCCTTAATTGTGTCAGCAGCTTCAAGTATACGGTTTCGCATTTCTTCTTCCGTAGCAATTGGAGTATTGTAAACCAATGACTTCAAGTGACTCCAAAGATAAAAGTCTATTGGAGTTACATCGGAGGACCGAGGTGGCCACGGCACTGGACCAATGCGCTGAGGAAATATTTCATTCAAAAGTGTCGTTACTTCTCGAGAACCGTGTGGAGGAGCCCCATCTTGAAGATAAAACAAGCGTGTCCGAACTTGTAATGCCACATCGTCCAATAATTCAAGCAAGCGGTTCTCCAAATAGTCAGCATATGTTGGTTCAATTAGTCGTCCTTCAAAGAAATAGTGACCCACAAGTACATCGCCTATTACGCCAGCCCAGACATTTACCGAGAACCGATGTTGAAAATGAGTTTCCCGTGAGCATTTTCATCGTCCCATATGTGCCTATTATGGAAATTCACTTCATCACGGATAAATGTCGCCTCATCTGTTACACAAACATAAGCTCGAAAGTCTACTTGATTGGCACATTGCCATAAAAACCATCTGCAAAATTGCATTCGTTGATCACAATCCGGGGGTAAAATCTGTTGAACTGTTTGAAGATGATAGGGGTGCAACAGCTGGCGCCTTAAGATGCGATGTACGGTACGAGATGAGGTTCCTACTTGCTGTGCGAGTCGTCGAGTACTAATTGTGGGGTCTTCGTCAAGATTTTCCAACACTGCATCTTCAACATTAACGTTCACTTGCTGACCACGTCCTTCTCCTTGAGGAATAACACTTCCCATATCTCGCAGCCGCTGAACGCACTGTAGGATTGTATTTGCACATGAGGGGTGACGTTGCGGCCATCGTTGCCGGTACAACTTAGTCGCCCCGAGCGCATTTTCTCTGGCTGCACCATACACTAACACCATATCGACACGTTAGGAAATAGTAAATGCATTGTTTTCTCGGTTCATTGTAAAACTAGTTCGTGCACAATCTAAAAAATTAAGCAAAGTAAGAAATAAGAATATCGTATTTAATGTAACCGGCACGCTATTCTTATTTTTTTTTTACTTCTTTATAAAAATTACACTGTCACTCCTGGAATTACAAAATAAAAACTTTTGTCTGGAATCATTCATTTTTTAACACTGATAGGTCGATGGACGATGCTTAATATCGAATAAGTGAATAATGAATTCAATACAAATACAAAATAAGTTGACTGCACAAATTTTTTGACAATGTAACCTAACCTTCATTTAGTATTACTAGTATTAGATTATACCGATTTGCAAATATAAGGTTGCATCTCGGGTCGCATAAAAATATTTCCAAAGTTACTAATAAATAAAACAGGGTCGGCCTTCATTTTCGTTGAATAAATAAACTCATTTATAAAAAAACGCGAAGATAGAACTTTTTGGTTTTCTATTACAAATACCATCAGTTTAATTTTTATAGACTATACACGCCACACCCTGTATAGTTTTGAAACTTGTTTTAAATTTAAAATACAAACATTTGCATTGACTACTTGGATCAGAGGCTTATAATAAACCATTATAGGTAATTATTTTCATTTAAAATTATCAAAAGAAAATTTTGATTTTAATTACTTAACTAAAAAACAAATTGAGTCATTTGTTTAATATATTATATTTAAATTAATATAATTTGAATAAATGGGTGTATCTTAAATCGTGAGATACAGTAAATATTCGTATTAACCTAATTCGAGATCTATACAGGGTGTCCGGTAAGTACCTCCTAATCTCTCGGGAGTGTATAGGGGAGGTCAAAATAAAACTAGTCCTTCCTATAATTTTTTTTCCTAATGTGCCCCCTAACGGAGTTATGGGGGGTCAAAGGGGTACCTAGAAATTAACGTTTAGGGTTATAACTTTGAAACCACCCTGTATATTTTAATAAAATTTTCGTACGTTGTATTACACATGGAGCTCTACGATTTGATGCTAAAATCAACTTTTTGCTATTATCAGGTGTCCAGAAACGGACTGGCCCTATCACAATTTTTCTCAAAATTTTGACAGAAGTAATTTTATCAAACTGAAAATATTATTATTAGATACTCTGAAGGTTTTTCTTTAAAAATGGTACTCTTTATTTATTTCGAAAAAATGAACGGTTTGCGAGATAAATCGGTTTTGAAAAAAATTGGTAACAAATACAACAATTAAAATTTATTTTTTTTACATATTATTTCATGCATTTAATTTCTTTAACTTTATCAAGTCCAGAAATCTTTGAACGGGTTGGCTATACTTTATGAGCAAGTAGTGACCAATTAAAAATAACATTTGAAAAATAACTTACTTACAAGACATGCAACAAAGAACATTCAACAATGAACAAAGGTACCTAAATGTTACTTCGGTAGATGTTCAAAATGAGCACCCCGTACTTCAATGCACTTTCTAATCCTACGAATGTTTTCCCGGTGCACTTGAAATAATATTCCGTGATTATTGCGGAGATGGTCACAGTTCTGTGTTAGCCTCAGCAGAAGTTCCTCTCTACTATTTACGGGTGTTGAATAAACGTTATTTTTTAAATGACCCCACAGAAAAAAGTCTAATGGGTTTAGGTCGGGCGACCTAGGTGGCCATAATACAGGTCCGCCTCGACCTATCCATCGATCACCAAAAACATTCGTCAGATGTTGACGTACTAAACGATCAAAGTGGGGTGGTGCACCGTCATGCATGTACCACATTTCAGTTCTTATTTGAAGGGGCACTTCTTCTAACAAAATATTTAGATTTTCCTCTAAAAATTGCAAATAAAGAGCACCATTAAGTCTTTGCTCCAGAATAAATGGACCAATCAAATGATTCCCGATAATGCCAGCCCACACATTCACCATAAACCTTTGTTGGTAGCGAGTTTGAACTAAAGCGTGAGGGTTTTCTTCATCCCAGACATGTAGATTATGCGAATTAATTATGCCGTCTCTTGTAAAACCTGCTTCATCGGTGAACAAAATAGATGTACCAAAATTATGATTCCGAATATGATGCTGTAAAAACCAATTGGCGTATTGAAGTCTTTTTGGATAATCATCTGGAGACATAGCATGTACTTTTTGGATGTGGTACGGGTAAAGCAATTGTTCTTTCAGAGTTTCATGTACAGCCCATTTTGTAACATTGTTTTGCGCCGCAAGCTTCCTTATGCTATTTGAAGGATTATTAGCAACGTCTTCCAATATTTGTTCCTCTACATGAGGGTCTCGTACTCTCCTCGGGGCTCCTGCTCCACCACGGCGTGGCAAAAAGCTTCCTAAATAAAGGATTCGGAAGAAATTAGTTTCACTAACGTTTTTCACTATTTTTTTTTACCTGTTTCTCTTAAACTACGATCAACTCTTTCAAAAGTTTTTGGACTCGGCAAATGTCGACCCGGAAACCTTTCCTCATAAAGTCTTCTTGCCTCCACGGAGTTGCATAATGCTTCCCCATAAATTAGGTGCATATCAGCATATTCTGCACAGGAATATTCTTCCATTTTTAAATGTTATTTCTAACGGCTTAAAACGAATACCACAATAAAATTGAATTTTTATTCTGTCACGCGCCTTTGACAAGTACTTTAAAATCAACAGGGTCTAACAACGAAAACAATAGAAAAGAACTCCATGGAGACAAGAGCAATAATAATTTGTAGATGTATTTTGGTCATAGATGTTGATTTTACAAGAAACGGCATTATTCATTCCCTTAATTCACCACCAGTAAATGTTTATGGTGAATCTGTAGGCTGGCACTAGCGGGAATGATTTTATTGTAAAAAAATAAATTTTAATTGTTGTTGTATTTGTTACCAATTTTTTTCAAAACCGATTTATCTCGCAAACCGTTCATTTTTTCGAAATAAATAAAGAGTACCATTTTTAAAGAAAAACCTTCAGAGTATCTAATAATAATATTTTCAGTTTGATAAAATTACTTCTGTCAAAATTTTGAGAAAAATTGTGATAGGGCCAGTCCGTTTCTGGACACCTGATAATAGCAAAAAGTTGATTTTAGCATCAAATCGTAGAGCTCCATGTGTAATACAACGTACGAAAATTTTATTAAAATATACAGGGTGGTTTCAAAGTTATAACCCTAAACGTTAATTTCTAGGTACCCCTTTGACCCCCCATAACTCCGTTAGGGGGCACATTAGGAAAAAAAATTATAGAAAGGACTAGTTTTATTTTGACCTCCCCTATACACTCCCGAGAGATTAGGAGGTACTTACCGGACACCCTGTATATTATAATAATCAGTACCCACAAATATTTGTCAGTCTATATTTAATATATTTATATCCATTTTCAATTTAAATCCAAATAAGATTGATTGTCGATTATTTTATTAATGATTATTTTTTTACATATAATATTTCATGGTTCTAGCCAATTAAGATTAAATATTAAGTTTTATCAACATTAAAAGATGTATCATGAATAGTGTTTCCAATAGATTCATTATTTCACAATAGATTATTGCCGAGATGTCTATCTCTATCTAAACATTTGATCTCGTGGAGTAAACTTACCATTGGGTAGTATCCTTGACCAGGACAATGAGAACCGGTAATGCTGAGAACCTAATTCTTTTACCAAGGCGACGTCCTCTTTGTACTTGTGATAAGAATCACAAGCAACGTCACCAGTTGACCCATCTGATATTAACGAAGAGCGGGTATGAGTTAGACGATCCCAAATATTTTCTCCTTTCCCATCTTCATTCCATGCACCTGCAATTTAAAAAAATATATTAATAATTGGCTACAATCAGAAGAGTCCATCAATGATTAACTCTGTATGCAATTACGCGAAAAAGGCGATGATTATCTAACGGACAAATGAGTGAAAGAAGTGAAGCTCGTTTTTTTCAGATATACACATCAGTAAAACGTAATTTGATATTTATTATTTTTTGGTCATGTTCTATCATATAAAATTTTATTTAATTACACAGCGCAACAGAAAAGTGGGTTAAACTAGTGTCTCATAGTAGTAGTAATTTGACCCAGTGAATCCGAATCTAAAGCCAGAATTAGTTCAAGTTTTGACCCTGACATCAAGACACTTCCTTGGAAAATAGTTTTCGAGATTTCAAACTGATTTGAGTAGTCAGTGATTGGAAAAACATTGGAATTCATGATCTCATTACACCATAACCTCATAACTCTGTAACCCCATAAAACGGAGTGTGCGAGAGTGTAGAACCGAGAAAGTCTGTGTGAACATAGATTCATGCATCAGGGGTTTCCAATCCACAGTCATGTTTTGACATTCATAACATGATGTGATCCGTTTTATTGTAATGATATAATATACAGGGTGGCCACCACTTTGTATATGAATTCTATGACTACTTTTAAGCAAAAAATGAACTATTCACTTTTCCTCAATTTCCAATGCTTCAATATAGGAGTTTGAAGTTGCCAGGTTGTATCAGTAGTTGCTAAAGCGAAAATTACATTGTTGCAACTATAGGGTTTAGAAAATGTGGTATATTTTAATAAAAGCGTAATGACATTATTAAAGCTGCTCAATGTGACCACGCACCGCCTTGTGTAATGCATAACTCAATCCTCTGTCGAAGCTCTCGTTTCCGTTCTCCATACTGTTTTTCACCTCATCAAACGCTGTATGAATATTCTCAGTGAATTAATTCCAATAATTGAATAGGTAAGTGTCTTCATGTGTAGCCACATGAAAGAGTCCAACGGGTTGAGTTCTGGGGATCATGATAGTCAAGTAATGGAACCACCACGACCTATCAATCGATTTGGATACTCTTTATTGAGGAAATTAGTGACACCTCTTCCATAATGGGATGGAGCACCATCATATAAAAAAAAACATCGTCCTTCTGATTTGAAGAAGAAAATTCTGAAGTAGCAGAGGTAGATCGTTCTTCGGTTGAATAAATGTGGACTAATAACTTCATTATTAATTATTCCCGCCCAAACGGTTACGGAGAATCTTCTCTGAATATGGGTTTCTCAAATAGCATGAGGGTTTTCTATTGCCCACACATGATCGTTGTGGAAATTGTTGATTCCATCTCTTGTAAATATAGTTTCGTCATAGAAAAAGATTCTTGAAAGATTTTGAGAAAGATCCGTGGCGAGAAGTTCTTGTACCGGTTGATAATGATAGGCATGCAGTCCATTTTCTCGCAAGTTGTCCTACTTTGTCCAGTAAGTACAGAAATTCTTGTCGTACTAGTATGATCATTTTGAACAAACATTTCTGCAGCATTGTTTCTTCGCATAACTTATCTTTCACAAGACGGTTTAGGGAACGTACCTGTTAATCGAAGGATTCTGAAGATTCTATTGGACGTTTGTTCGTTTGGAAGACGGCGGTTTGGATATCTTCGTTTACATTTCATGAGGCGGTGTACTACCGTTGCAATGTCCACATTCTTCATTTGTATAAATTTAAGACATGATTTTAACACAAATGAAGACAAAATAAAATTTTATTTCTAATCCCAGCTAAGTTGCTAATTATTAAATTACCTAGTAGTCCTGTCATTTTGTACATTTGGAAAATAAAGTGAACCGGGAACGCCAAATTTTTTATATGTTGTGGTGGGTGCTCAGAAAAGCTTAACTTGAGATTTGATACCAAGATTTCCAATGTGCATTTTTCGTCATCTTGGAAAAAGGGGTGAATTTTTGTTTTTGCTATAACTCGGTTCCCCGTCGAGATACAGAATTGTTGTTGTTCCTTAATTTTTATTCCTCCTTCAACGAGCTACAATTTAGGTCCTATAAACATTTCAGCTATTTTTGTTAGTTGTTGAGATATCGAACAAAATGGATAAAAATTCAAAGATTCGGTCTGGCTTTTCGGGTTTTTCTCTTTTTCCTTAATACTTATTGAATAAATGTATATTCTGTTCTGACATCCACGGGAGAACGAGTTCTCTTTGCTCTATCTGGCGGTGAGAAGCACATCAAAAACATCAATGTGCTACGATATCAACGCTACGCAAAATCTATCACCAGAAATAGATTCAACCAACAAGAAGCGCAGCACGACAACACACATTCCGCACGTATCATCAGGTACAAATTTGGCTTGGGTTTTACAAGGATCCGGAGGAATGGGGTTGGCGACGAACGGACCATGATCTAGAGCCTATTATTAATACGGCTGAACCTGCGCCGCCCGAGCTTTTGAAGCTAATGTCTTGCAAATGCAAGGAAAAATGCGGTACTGCTTGTGGGTGCAGAAGAGCTGGCATTGCATGTTCAATCATTTGCCTGAAACGCAGTGGACAAATATGCAAAAACGTTGCCAAAATCGAAGTCCTGATCTGTGACAACGAATTAGATTCCGAATATGATTCAACAATCGGAGAAAATATGGTCGAGGAATCTCCACGCATCGAAAAGTATCCTCAACAGAGGGACTGTGAACTAGGGCCGTCGAGGAGAAGGAAGACGTAGATACTTCTTCAACACGAAAACATTCTTGTATATTAAATTCCATACGTGTGAAACATAATCTCACTGTGTTAGTTCTTCATTTCGAATCCATTACAACGTACCTATAAAATCGCGCGAGCTATAAAATAAAACCTTTGCACGGACTTGCCGACTTCGAGACGCGAAAGAACACGCAATTATCACCCTACAGAAAAAACAAAGACACCAAGTTGTTCGTACAAACACCTACTACAAGTTTTATAATAGACATGTTTTCGATAACTAAGGAAAAAGAGAAAAACCAAAAAAACCAGTTCGAATCTTTGAATTTTTATCTATTTTGTTCGATAACTTAACAACTAACAATAATAGGTGAAAAGTTTATAGAACCTAAATTGTAGATCGTTGAAAGAGAAACAAAAAACAATAAACAAAAATTCACCCCTTTTCTCAAGATGGCGGAAAATGCACATAGGAAATCTTGATCTCAAATTTGCCTTATTTTTGGATAGAATGACTGGACTATAGCCCTCTGGTGGCAACAATGTAATTTACGCTCTAGCAGCTACCCATACGATCTAGCAACATCAAACCCCGATATTTCAAGAACCGTTGGGAATTCGGGAAAAGTGAATAGAACAATTTTTGCTTATAATTAGTCATATAAATCATACACGAAGTATTTCGGATACCTCGGCAGCCACCCTGTAGTTTTATTGTATACTATACTGGAATAATCCAAATAGTATATGTATAAAAAGTTTCTGGTGAAGAGAAATCTTTTCATCAATTTTGAACTATAAATAACAATAAAATTAAATTCATTGTATAGTTAAAAGAATCATATTACAAACTATCTGAAGAAAATTTTAGTATTAATTTGTGTAGATACCATTTTTTATAAAACAAACATTTGACTTACCTTCCACTTGGTAGGAAGCAGTAGCTGTACCGAACAAGAAATCGTCAGGAAAAGCTTTGTTGTTTACATCGTCTTCTGCTTGGATGTAACTGTATAAAATATATTATGTTGCATTATATCGTGCGTGTACTATTAATTTCAAAACATTTCTTCAAGTAGGTTCAATTTTTTTATTGACATTAATATTAATTAATTTACCTAATTTATATTTTTCTTTCGTTTTTACGAGACATGAATGATCATAACATTTTTTGAATAGAGTCAAACTTATAAGATTTTAATAATAAAGAAATAATTTGACCTTGAAGAATATTGGTGAAATAATAGGAATAATTATAAAATACCCAGCACTCACCCGAAAATAAGAAAGGAATAAATTAAAAATATTTTGGGCTCCATGTTTACTCTGATTAAATGGTGAAAAACCTGCGAGAGTACCTGCTATATATAAATTTAGATAATATTATTTAATCCTTATGTGTTTCAGAAGTGTTTGTTTCATTTTGAAGTGGCATTCAGTTATCAGGGATTTGCTTTAAAATCAAGATCTTTATTTTTCATAACAAATTTTATTAATGCAAGGTGTTATAGGTGTTATATTACTTATATACTGTAGTTAAAGATAACATTTTATTATTTATATTTTATAGATTATGACTACAACAAAAATTTATATGCAAATATATTTATTTACATATAAATAATTGTGTAGGTTAACTGCGGCAACAACATTTCTTTAAAATGTAACTTATGTATGTTTTTGCATAATGTTCTTAATGCTCTTTTATTAATGTAATTCTTACGATTACAGTGATATAAGGTTTGAAAAGAGTATCTCTATGCCAATAATTGTGTTATGTTGATATTGACTCTTTTGGCCATATATCTCCCTTACGATAAAAGATCGTCACATATCCAACTTTATATCGTTTTAATCGTCGGGAGGTTTTATTGAAATATGTAAAACTAAACAGGATTAGTAAAAACAGAGGTTGGTTTATTTAGATAAATTTGCGATGTTCATCTGTTTAATTTGATATTTTGAGTGTTCATACAACTCATACGTTTAAAAATGTTTCTCTATTGTGTGACGCCTAGCTATTTTCAAGTGCAACAGACAACGATGAACAAATAAAACAAGTGATACCTACTATTTGATGAAATACATGCAAAGGATGAATTTAGACAAATATTTTATTCATTTGCTTTATTTTTGGTTTCCTATAGCTATGGTGAATTAATTGTTGACATTTAAGTTGAAATTAAATACAAACCAGGATCACTATTATTTTTATAGTACCCAAATTTTCTATCTTTGAAATTACATTAGTATTCCTACATTTTGCACGACTTGATTGTATAGTGCAAATCAATTCTGGAATTGGTTAATGCTGCCTAGAAGACATAATTTTAAAAAGTAACAAGCTTAATCATCCAAATAAAATCGGTTCTAAATATGCACGAATAGAATGTCTTCACAATAGTTTTTGATGAATGATTTTAAGTTATCGAATCAATATGTAACTGATATCGGTCAGTAACTGATAATTATAAGTACTTCAGTACTAGGTTTTTCAATTAAGTCACAGGTGGTTAGGTGCATTATTTTTCTCACATACAAGGTCATAATTAGAGAAGAAAAAATATTTGAACTGGAAATTCATCTGGATAAAACAAAAGCAATTAGCCGAATATACCTCAGAAATAAAACGTTTGTTTAGAAATATATTGTTAAAAAATTGTGTGAAGTTCTCTGAATAGTTTTTATTCCAAAATCATTTTGTTTGTAGTTTTAGATGGACAATTTTATTGAAATTTTAAAAATATTTTTGTTAGAAACTGTCTTGAGAAAAACATCAAAAGATCAGCATTTTGAATAAGTATTTTGAAGTATTTCATATTGGTCAAACAATACATCACAGAAAATTTTTAATACAGTATTATTATATTTTTTTAAGGAAGGATTTTGGATTAGGGTATATATAGCTTTTATTTGGTTAGAAACACTTAAAAGTTTTACCCATCCCGTATATTTTGATAAACATTGTGTTTGGAATTTTGTCAAAACTTCCTTTCGCACGATAATTAGTGAAATATCCCCATTAAATACTTAAAAACATATATGCAAGAAAATAACCAAACAATTGAATAATAAAATAAAAGTTTTATTGTTTAAACACTGTTAATTATAAAAAAATTAAACAAAACCACGTGCCATTTTATTAGGTACCTAAGTTAGTATTATTTTGGAAATATATTAATTTCACGTTTTAAATTCCATTAAATGAAATTTTATTTATTGTGTCCTTTCCTTTCTCAACATTTTTGAAATTTTGGATTATTTAATAAAAAATGCAATGGCGATTGTTAGGTTTGATTGAACATATAAACTTTTGTTTATTCCTCACAAGTGTCTACCAAACAACGAGTCTTGGTAACTTTCTTGTAGTAAGCCGCAGATGTTTTGGGTGTCCTCGTCCTGTTAATGCTGTCGAAATCTACATGGTAGAGCCCGAATTTTCCTCTGAAAAGATAAAACAATTAAAACAGTATAAATCATTGGATTCCTTCTCATATTTTTCTTTTAGCACGAAACTAGTTATATTCACAAAAAAACGTATTTCTGCCTACTTATGATTTAATTAATATAATTATTTTATAAAACAAATAAGTGGTATTTTATTTTGCAAAATTAACGTACAACTAAGACACGTAATATTTAAAATAAATTATAAAGTAGTACATATAAAAATACTTTGACATGCTAAAGAAATATCCAAAAGCAGGTAAATTAGATTACTTAAGGCAAAAACGAGATTCAGATACTGTATTTTTCAAACATTTTTACTTGTTACTTTTCGAGAAACTTACGCATAACCCTGTAACCATTCGAAGTTATCCATAAGACTCCATGCAGTGTAGCCAAATACATTTACTCCATCCTCTATAGCACTTCTTACATTACTAAGATAATCCTACATATAAATCAAAAATTATTATTTGAAATTGTCCTAATTTTCTAAAAAACATTGTTAATTAGTTTGTTAAGTTTTAGTCGTCATTCTGTAAGAACATTTAGAATAATAAAATAAGCATATTGTTTTTACAATAGACATAACATTCTTTTGGTTTCATTACTTTTTTTAGTAAAGCAAAATTAGCAGCGTGCGCGATATTTTGTGCAATTATATTAAAAAGAATTAATCTAATGCTCCAGTATATGAGAATTGGGATACATTTGCACAGGTTTATGGTATTAACAAATATATATAAAACATAAATATATTACCCTGTAAACACGAACTCTCTTAACATCATCTAAGGAGCCATCATCAGGGGTACCATTTTCTGTAATTATAATTGCTGGATCGTTGTAAGTTTCTTTCAACCAATTTAAAAGTTTTCTTATGCCCCATGGAGTTATCTAAATTGCATAGGAAAATATATGATATGAAAACACTTTTACTTAACATGCAAACACTAATCATGCGGTTATAAAGAATAAAGGAATTAATAGCATTAGTAATCATTTTAATGATTTTATTTGAGTAATGCTCAAAAATATCTCCATTTCCACGAACATTAGCGCGACATACAGGGTGATTCATTAACAATGGGAAAGTCGAAAGCTGAAGATACTACACGTGAAATGGTGACCATTGGCGCAAACATGCCTTATCCGAAAGTTGATAGTTTCGGAAATACAGGGTGTTGAAAGTTAAAATTTTAAATCGTTTTTTTGCGATTATTCTGAAAATATGTAGGTTAGGAACTTGAAAATTTGTGAAACTATATTTTTTTAGGCGACGAATAAGATGCGTGTTGTAATTTCAGCATTGCTCATAGAGGGCGCCACTTACGACCAATTTTACCGAAAATTTAGTTAATAACTTTTTACCCTGTATGTCTAACATGAAACTTGATTCAAAACCTGAAAGAGCAATCATTTTTCCATTAATTATGTATTCTTGTTTCATTTCGGTATCTCGATCCGTTTTCGAGAAAAATCGATTTAACGAACACTATGTTTTGATAATACGAGAAATTAAAAGCGAAACAAGCCAAGAGTTTCTTCGTGTTATTACAACAATTAACAATAAAACAAATAAAATATGTAATTATGATTTAAAGTAATTGTTCGAAGAATCCACCGTTGACACTGATACACTTTACACGTTTTCTGAGAGATCTTCGAGTTTGAAACAACATATTGGGATTGCGTCTGACTTCGTTGGCAGCGATTTGTATTCTTTGCCACAACTCTTCACACGAGCCAATAGATTCTTTGTAAACTATATCTTTCATTCGAGACCAAATAGAAAAATCAAGAGGATTGAAGTCCGGACTTCTGGATGGCCAAGCAAAAATGCTAAGATGGCCAATCCAGCGATTTGGAAAAACTGCATCTAAATATGCACGCACTGGCCAAGAAAAATGCGGTGGAGCTCCGTCGTGCATGAACCACATGTCTCTTCTTAAATAAAGTGGAACTTCTTCAAGCCGTGGAAGCATTTTTACTTGGCCACCCAGAAGTCCGGACTTAAATCCTCTTCATTTTTCTATTTGGAAGAATTTATTACTTCGTGTGAAGAATTGTGGCAAAGAATACAAATCGCTGCCAACGAAGTCAAACGCAATCCCAATATGTTGTTTCAAACTCGAAGTTCTCTCAGAAAACGTTGTGTAAAGTGTGTAAATGTTCTTCGAACACTGGCTTTAAATCATTATTACGATTTCATTTGTTTTATTGTTAATTGTTAATTATAATAACACGAAGAAATACTTTGTTTGTTTCGCTTTTAATTTCTCGTATTATCAAAACATAGTGTTCGTTAAATCGGTTTTTCTCGAAAACGGATCGAGATACCGAAATGAACAAGAATACATAATTAATGGAAAAATGATTGCTCGTTCAGGTTTTGAATCAAGTTTCATGTTAGATATACAGGGTAAAAAGTTATTAATTAAATTTTCGGTAAAATTGGTCGTAAGTGGCGCCCTCTATGAGCAATGCTGAAATTACAATACGCATCTTATTCGTCTCTTAAAAAATATAGTTTCACAACTTTTCAAGTTCCTAACCTACATATTTTCAGAATAATCTCAAAAAAACGATTTAAAATTTTAACTTTCAACACCCTGAATTTCCGAAACTATCAACTTTCGGATAATGCATGCTTGCGCTAATGGTCACCATTTCACGTGTAGTATCTTCAGCTTTCGATTTTCTCATTGTTAATTAATCACCCTGTATTTTTAGTAACGAAAATGTAATTTGTTCGAAATTTATTGTTGCTTGAATCTGATTTATTCTTTATTCTGACTTCTCAGGTGTATTAATTTGTTCACTGTATACCAGCCGTTTAACAGCACCCCACAAAAAGAAATCTAGTAGGTTGAGGTCATGTGTTTTCAATTCGTTTTTTAAGTTTTACTCGAAAATTAGGCTCTTTTTCGAAAAACATAAGAGGGTAGTAATTTAAAGAAAATTGAAAGACGAATCCAAAAATATAATGATTGTTATAGTAAAGCAGTGGAGTACTATTTTATTTAGAAAAATATGCCACCGATTCCCTGTATCTCTGCCACTGAAGCATCTAAATTTTAGAAAAAGGCCTGAGATTTTGGACAATGCTTACATAAATACATGTGATCAATTTCAAATTATTTTAAATTATTAAAAAAAATTGAAAATATTTGTTTAAGTTTAACACCCTATATCTTTGCAACGAAGCGTTCTCGATAAAAACTTTATAGAAAAGACTCAATACGTACTCAAAAGAGAAAGAAAAATATCAAGAGTTGGCAATAGAAATAAGAAAGTATGAATTGTCCACTGGATTACAGCACTGCAGAGATTATACTAGCTCAGAATTTTCCTTAATCTCATGTAAAATTTTCAATAAATACTTTGGGTGGTTTAGGATATTTAGTTCTTTTTTAAAGCATTTGTAGTAGCTTATCTAAATGTAGGTACCCCTACTTCATATACAAAAATACCTAACTGTTTGTAATTTTATTTTTCTAGCTTCTTATTAAAGCAAAAAATAGGTACCTTGAAATATAGTATGGATGATGACTCCCATTCATCAGGCTGGTAGCTATTAACTCCTATGTCGTAAGTGTAACTTGGTTCCCCAACTGGTACTTCATCCGTGGCCGCTGTTAGCATTGAAGTATACATATTGACAGCCATGAAATCGAAAGTGCCGCTAATGTAGGCGATTTCTTCGTCGGTGAATGATGGAAGACGGGACTTGTTGAAGCCTTCAGCTAAACTACGTTCTGCAATGCGAGTCTTCATTATTTCTGGGTAGTCGCTGTTATAGATTGGATTTGCATACCATCCGAACTAAAAAAATTATCGGTAAATACTTTTCTTCAATTTCCCTTTATCAATATATATATTATAATATTACTACTTACTTCGAATTGTAGTGCTGTTTCAGCAGCAACTACATCTTCTTCACTGTCACTAGCAGGTTCATGCCACATAGTATCAATAGTGATTGATACGAGACCTGAAAACAATGATTATTGTTTTGTAATAACATCATATCTTCACATTGTATTGATTATGTCCTCAAATATGGTACCTTTAATTTTTTTAATAGCGATGTTAGGATATTTAATAAAAACTTAGTTTCTCTGAAAAATTTCCTGCGTTTCGATTATACATGGTGAACTAGGGTGTAATCGGGAAACTTTACCAGGCGGTAGAAGAGCAAAAAGTGTGAAGTGATCTTGAGTCATTTATTTTTAGGATAAAGGTTACGGAAATCAGTCGAAGCCTCAGAATTTTGATGCCATTGAGTATTGCGCAAATTCAATTAATTCATTTCGAAGAAAATAAAATGTCCAATTTCGTCAAAATCAAGAGTTGTTTTGAACTTCCAATTTTTTTATTCAGCCTCTGCCTCTGCAATAGCCCGTTCTTCGAGAATAGTGAGGAGCCCTTTTTTACTTAGAATTTGTATTGATAATGAAAAATTCTTAATTGACTCGTCATCGTTAGTTGACGTTATACAAGTCAACTTAGCGAATTCTTATATTTAATTAGATAAATTAGCTAAACAGTGTCGACGTCTTCCTCAAACATCTTTAGATATATTTCAGAAAATGTAATATTTTTTTACTAATTTCAACATTTTGTATCACGATTTTTATGAAGGTTGAGGTATACTGAGAGACCTGTTCATGTTTTATGGGAACATACTATTTTATTAACTGTCCTGACACAATTCTGTTTTGTAGTGGACTACTCTTGACAAAGATTTAACTTATATATAAATCTAAATGGTCCTATGTCCGTCCACCTCCAAATAATAAAGTGCTAAATTAACAAAGAAATGCAAATTTACCTTACTTGAAACATTAACAATTATTTTCGTGAAAATAAAGTAAGAATCCCTTCACTTATGCATTGAATTCCTGGAGTTTATTTTTAAATAATGTCTGCTCAATCAATTTGATGAAGAGAATAAACATGTGTCATATGTATTATTTTATCTTTTCAGTTTAATCAGGTGATATTTGCGTGTTAAAGAATACAAACTTTGCAAAACTCGATTTTACTCTTTTGAAGTCATTGTTTCTGTTGTATAAAAGATTATTTTCAGGTGTTTGAAGGTCCCAAATTCAAACTGTTTCGATTCTAAAATGTTGGAAGATTTCTATATTTTAAATTTTTATACAATATCATCCAATCTTTAATGTGATTAATACAGTACCTTGTTGTGTAGCTCTAAATTCTTGGTCATAGATGTGCCAAGCCCTAGCATGAGCTTTGATTAAGTGATGAGTACACACATAGTCTGCTAATCCTGACAATGTAATTCCTGGGGCAGAATATCCCTGGCCATAACCTCCTAAGCAAGTTTGCTTGGGTTCGTTAAATGTCAGCCAATATTTCACGTCGTCTCCAAAGAGTTCGAAGCATAGCCTCGCGTATTCTGCGAAAGCTTCTATTATGAACTCGCTCGGCCATCCTCCGATGTCCTGCAAGGGTTGTGGCAAGTCCCAGTGGTACATGGTGATCAGGGGTTCGATGCCATTATCTTTCAGTTCTTTGATTAGGTTCTTGTAGTATGTCACCCCGGGAAGGTTAACTTTGTTTACGAATCCTAGAAATCACAGAATAGATTTTTAGTGTATATAAACAACCATTAATGGAATAACATTTAATATATGAATGCCAAAATGCTGTTTGTAAATACTTAAACTCGCATAAATAGTATCATGATATAAATACTAAATGAACAGTAAAGCAGATATCACCAAGCATTCAAGAGAATGTGCATTTAGCAAATAGACCAGGGCGATCTGTTTTGAGGTGGATCTGAGAGGGGGCAAGCAAATTTTTTTTGGATTACCTTCAGTACAACTCACATAATAAAAGTGTAGATCTCTAAATCTGGGCGAGGTCCGGAACATTTTCAAAATTGCAAAAATGTTTAAAAAATTTAAAAATACCTATTTCATCTGAGTTTTTTACTTATATCTTGGAATCTATGTATTTTGAAAGAATATTGAAGAGGAAAAAAGTTTTAGAATTGAATTGTGCACAATATACTGGAAGTAAAAAATGTTTAAATTTATTACCGTTGTTGCACAATAGCAATAATTAATGAAAAAAGGCAAAATGCCCTCGGCGGAATTATAATATTTTAAAAAAATTATCCAAAACATTTGATTATTTTGCCTTTTTTCATCAATTATTACTATTGTGCAACATCGGTAATAAATTTAAACATTTTAACTTACAGTATATTGTGCAAAATTCAATTTTAAAACTTATTTGCGCTCCAATGTTCTTCCAAATTGCATAGGTTCCAAAATATAAAAAACAGATAAAATTGGTATTTTAAAAAATGTTTTAAACATTTTTGCAATTTTAAAAATGTTCCTGATCTCGCTCATATCTAGGGATCTACACTTTTATCGTGGTCTAAAAGTGAGAATTTAGATGATAACTTTTTGTGTGGTATTATCTCTATAGTATACTTTACAACTATATCTCCTTGACTATTGGAGATATATTCGACAGTTTCTAAATCGTGACAAATGATTTACAGATATAATGATAATGATTGAAAGAAATGTAATTACTAAAGTATAAAAGTACCTGTAGGAAGAATTCTTGACCAGGATAATGAGAATCGATAAAAATCAACGCCTAATTCTTTCAACATAGCTACGTCTTCTTTGTACTTGTGATAGGAATCACAAGCTACATCACCAGTGTCGTTATTAACAACTAATTCAGGGTGAGAGTGCGTATAACGATCCCAAATATTTTCCCCTTTGCCATCTTCATCCCATGCACCTAGAATAACGGATTCAATTTTGTAAGTAGATAAATACCTGAAAAGATTATTGGGATGTTCTTTCTCCATTTTCATATACAAATAGACAATAATCTGTTAACATCTCTCTTAACAGTTTGTTTTTATTTACCTTTTAGAAAGTCGTAAAAAATTATATTATGACAAAGTAAGTAATCAATTGCCAATTTACTCTTAATAAAACTTTCCTTACAATTTAATCAATTTTCATTAATGTTTAAACGCCTCCAATGTTTACTTCTGGATACGATTCACGCTAGAAAGCACTGAAAGTGTGTGTATACTTGAGCATCCATTGTGAATACTATCCAAAATTTTTTAATGAGAGCGTCCTGACCACCTAATTTGTAATCTTTTTTTAGTTTCAATAAGGGTTTGAAATAAAATAGCTTGGCAATTAAATAAAATTGTTTCAGATATGTTTCCAACACGGTGTTTCAAAATAGGTGTTGCTAAAATTGAGGAGGATATAGAGGACACTGGGGTAGAAAATTTTTGCATATAAACCACTAGTCGGAAATGAGCCGTTTTGGCTCTGGAGTAATTTTAGTCAGAAAACGTAATGTTATCTCGTTGACACCAAAAGCCAATTTTTATTAAAGATAACTCAAAAAATGATTGGAAACAAAATAAACACGTTTATCTCTTCTGATAAGTGTTTACCAACTACATATCCTACACACAGAAATTGTTTTTATCCACAACTATGTGATAAAGGCTCTATTGCACGTATCTAATCTATCAATTCAATGTCATCTGTGTCACGCTGTAATATACAGTGTGGCCAAATGAAAACGAAACAGAGCCATTTTTAGGAACTGCGTCAAGAAAAACGCTTAGACCCGTCGATTTTATATTAAAGGTGGACATTCTCTGCTGGAATTTTTGACTCCGCCACTTTCACCCCCAAGCAAGGGTTAAATTATGTTTAGTTGCTTACTTACTACTTAAATGTTCAAACTGATGACCGCCCGCTTCCATACAAGAATAAAGATTTTGTTCGAAACGTTCGCTCACATTCCGAAGCATTTCCAGCTTGATTCGACGGCATTCATCGACGATTCTTTGACGCAAATCTTCCAGCGACGCTGGTTTAGGTATCCCCACAAAAAGAAATCAAGGGGCGATAAATCCGGTGATCGTGGAGGTCACTCAATGATGCCTCTTCTCCCAATCCAATTCCGTAGAAAACGTCGGTCCAAATACTGAAGGACAATTAACGCATAATGCGGAGGAGCACCGTCCTGTTAAAAAATCAAATGATCTTCATCATACTCTGGAACATTTTCAATAATATCAGTCAAGGCAGGGCCAATAGCGTCTTTCAGTAATTGCAAATACATTTGGCCAGTCAAATTACCAGGCAGAAAAAAGAACCCACCAGCCAGTCACCGAAAATTCCAGCCCATACAATTAATTTTTCCGGTTGCTGTGTATGCACCTCGTGAAAAGCTCTTGGGTTTGAATCGGATCAATAGCGGCAATTGTGACGATTTACCGTCCCGTTCAAGAAAAAACTGCATTCATCAGAAAAACAGATGTTAAAAAGGAACTGTGGATCGTTCCCTGCTCGCTCACTCATTATTTCGCAAAATTGCAAACGGCGGTCATAATCATCCTCATGAAGTTCCTGGACTAAATGTATTTTGTATGGATGGAATTTATTCTTCTTCAAAATGGTTTGTATGCTAGTTCGATTGATCCCAGACACAGATGCCAGCTGCCTCGTACTTAATGTAGGATCAAGATGAACTTGTCCCAAAACTGCAACTTCACTAGCTTCATTAACTATAGGTTTTTCAATTTCTCGTTTTTTATTGGCTACGTTCCCTGTCTCTTGAAATTTTTTTACTAACTCTAGAACATACTTCCTCCTGACATGTCGATCTTGATGTTGTTCATTAAATAGCTGAGCTGTTCTATTCGCACATTTATTGTTCATAAAGTAAAGCGAAATGATATCTACCCTTTCCGCAATGGAATAAACCATAGTGTTTAATTTTCAAAAACACAATTAAATAAACTACCAACCAACGCTTCCAAATAATACTAGAAAATAATTTGGAATCCACTAATTTTACGTTCATTGTGTGTGTATAGCATTCATTTCTGTTTTTTACAATTGTTTTTTTTTACGAAAGTGATAACAAATCGCCAAAAACCAATGTAACGCAAGAAATACTAAATTTATACCATTGGCGTACTTAACTCGAATGACTGGCATTTTTACCGTTACTAATTGTTTGTACATAAGTTTCAACTTTAAAATCAAAATTATTAATAAGTATTGGGCGGAATTATAAAATTTAAAGTCTGTTGTAAAGAGAATTGTAAGAGCTTTCAAAAGAAATATTACTCAACCCCCAATGCCATTTAAACATTTTGGGGTGATGCTTACCCTTGCATGGGGGTTAAAGCGGCGGAGTCAAAAGTACCAACAAAGAATGTCCCCCTTTAATCTAAAATCGACGGGTCTGAGCGTTTTTCTACAATCTTGACGCAGTTCCTGAAAATGGCTCTGTTTCGTTTTCATTTGGCCACCCTATATATAAGGAATAGTGAAACAAATAAACAGAGCTGTCACGTAATAGATGATATGATCTAATTGAGTGTTTCAGATTTGTTTTGTTTGCGACGAAATTTTGCTTGTAAGTTGTTGAAATGGACCAATTAACGTTCCAAGAGTATGCAGATATGCATCTTATTTATGGCGAAGCAACGCTGGAGAAGCTGAGCGCTTTCCGAATCGTCGACATCCTTGCCGAATAACATTTTCGAACATCCTACCAGAAGCCACTTTGAACAAGTATTATATTATTTTTGCGTTATCCTTAATAAAAATTATTTAAATATCGAAGCTTTTTGAAGTGAACATAATAACATTTCCGACTTGGGGATTATATACAAAAATTTTCTTCCGCAATGTCCTCAAGTTTCGCAATACTTTCTTGAAATATCCTGTATAAATCAAATCTAACATCAATTACTATAAACAATCTAATCCAATCATAACTAATATTATAAATAGTTATTTATGTTACAATAAAGAGACTTACCTTCTATTTGATAAGAAGATGTGGCTGCACCAAACATAAAACCTTCGGGGAAAAGTTTATTATTAGTTTCATCCTGTGCTGTGCTAAAAACGTATATAAACATTATATATTATTGATCAACTATTTACACCACTAACTCCTACATATTTTAAAATATACCATATATTTATTTGATGTCGGCGTTGGATGAAATGTATGGCAATTAATACTAGACGGAGCTGTAATGGCTGTAATTTGCAGAGTAGTTGTATTTCCACTGTATGATGTGTTCTTATTGTATACTTTTTTGAAATACGAGTATATGTACAGAATATTAGCTACAGTATTCATTCAACTTATGAAACAAGAGGCATAACTTTTGGGTTATTATTGTTATTTCATATTTTGCAACAGTTCAACAGTGCAACATATTCTACACTTAAAACCCTTGGTAGAAGACTGGGACCCTTTTTAACAAATATTTTAAATGTGATTTTAATTTGTCTAATATATTTTACTATAAAACCATATTTTCCTTATTTTTTTTTTTACTACTGGTATATTTTTTTTCCGGTGGGAAATTATATTCCCAAAGACGTTTTAGTAAACAGACTATACTCATTAATTTTCTGGGTGATGTATTTCCCACCTACAATAAAATAAAGGATCTCTTACCATTACACTATTTATAGCCTAACAGTAATTATACAAACATATAATTAAGATTTATGAAACGGAGTAAAACAGTTTTTACCTAAACTACTTACGTTACAAGTTAGACAATGTTACAAAATTTTATATTTCTGTCCGTATTTGAATTTGTCGAAAAAAAATTTAGAGGCCATAGCTTTCTCCTACCATATAAGTATAGCTAAAACTGTAGAAAAGTTTGAAATTAAAAAAAAAACAAATTTACCACACCGCCCAACCCCCCTCCATTGGTGGTGTAGATATGGTGTATGGTATTGAAGTCATTATCTCTAATATTTATATTTCTTTTTATTTTCAATTCTAGAGGGATTGAAAATTTGTTACAACTTTATATAAGAAAATAATCCTAAAATCATTATTTTGAGTAATTTCAACCCGGCTATTAGCTTATGACCTATTTTTGCAGTTTCTATGGAAAGTACAGATATTATTGTAGCCAGATACCGGATATTAACTTTGTTCCTCAATATTTTCATAATAAAAAATATAAATAAAGTAGAAGTGGAAACATAAGCTTACAAAGTTTTCTAGAATATAATAAAAACTGCAGTCAAATTTTAAATTCTTACACACTACACTAGAAATAAAGGGTATATTGGTGATTGTACTTATCCGTTGTTCCACAAATTTTCAATAATTTCCTTTGTTTTGTATAAAAACNAGCCAGTGCTCTGATATACATAGAATATCGAAATGATTACTAGCTAAAAATATCTGAAGTTCATCAATTTTGTTAGATAAACTTTGAGCATTGATATGTAGCACAGAGTACTTACAATCCAGGTCAATATTAGACATTTTGAGATGCTGTAGTGGACATGCTTCCTCCATTACTCCTTGAACCTTTTGAGGGAAAAAACCTATTCAACACAACCCCGCTAGGCCAAATCCTGATGTCAGTAACTGCAGAACTTTAGAATAATTCTAAAGATGGCAGCACATATATTATATCTAATGTTGAGTTTCTGGGATAGTAGTTTTCCAGTGAAGCATACGAGGGTTATATTTTAATAGGTGGGAAACTATTATCCCAAAAAAACATAAAGGGTTACCCTTTAAACACAACAAAAAATATTTTTTAATATGTTTTTGATTCAAATTGTGTTTTTTTATGAAGAACCACACAGTATCATTTTTTTTTATAAAGAAGCATATAACATCATTTTAAAATACAATTTATAAAATGAAGTAATAAACGTTATAACAGATATTTCTCAACAAAAAAAGTGAAAAATTTCTTACACGTGCCTATGTAAGTGAAGTGTTTGGGAACTCACCTAATAGCTAGTAAGCAACAAAATATAAAACCTCTTAGAGACATGGCTGATGCGATTAATTCTCTTAAAATGTGCCTTATATTATGTACTTATGAAAGCTACCTACTTGAGGAAGAGGGGTACTTGTAAAATATTGTATTGTTATTGTTATTGATAAGTTATGAAACATATTTAAGCCTTATATTCATAACTTATTAGAAATAATATTTTACAAGTACTCCTCAGCTTGAAGTAGCTTTCGTAGGTAGGTATGTACATAAAATGATAAAACTATTTTTGGAAATGTTTTAAAAGGAAAAATTACTTAAAATAATTAAGTATTATTTACAATAGTATTAAAGACAACATAGAATTAGTTTATTTGTGATATGTTTGAAGTACTGAAATTATTATTATCAAAACGCTAGGATCTAGTGACTATAGTAACAAGCGAATTATAAAGGACATTAATAAAGTGAAATAGTTGATTCAGAGAGAATTTAGTAAGTTCTTAGTAATCTGTGGTACAAATCTTTTTGAAACATATTTTATAGCAGTTAAAAGTAAAAGATTGAAAGTTCAAGATTCGATTTCAAATAAAAAAAATGTTTTATGATTGTATTTAAGTATATATCAACTAAATATATACAGGATGATTTACATAATAGATATTTTACCTCTCTTATCTTTTTCAGGCCCGGTCTGGCCAGGTCGGGCAGTCGGCAAAACCCGACTTATTTTGGAAGATAGGCCCCCAAACGACTAATGAGGCGCCAAAACTATAAGAAAATTTTTTGTAAATTCTTGAGATATAGCCACTGTAAATTGAAAAGAAAAAAGAAGAACGTAAAAATGAAAATTGAATCATTTGTAGGAATGAGATTTTCCCAGATCAAAAAATAACACAAATTTTATTATTTTGACCTATATCCCTATAAACAGTGTACCTACAGGAAGAAGGAAGAGAGGAAGAGAGAAATAAATATATATTCCAAATCGTGGGCCCTCTAAACTAATAACTCCTTTATCTATAAGCCGTGGGCTTGAGGAAAAACCGAGAAAAATTAATATCTCCCAAACTGTAAGTCTTTTAACTTTATAATAACCCTTTACTATATAGCCGTATAAGTTATGTGCCCGGAAGAAAAAATGAGAATATAAATAATAATAAAGAGCTTTAAAATTTTTTAAAGCCTTCGGACTAAACCAATAATAGTTTGGACGTAGCCTATAGAGCTATAGCGTAAATAAAATCTGTGTAGATTTTATCGTTATCTGGAAATGACAAGTGATGAACAAATACTAACTTATGGTCAAAAGAACTTCTCCGCGCATCAGTACGATCATTTATATGTTTTTGAAATAAGTGCGTTCCTTGAAAATGGTGATAGAAGGCACGAAAATGAGGAACTTTTATTAAACAACTGATGGCCTAAATGCTTCTGTTTTCAAGAAAATTTATTCAGAAAATTAACAATAAATGTAAGCCGACCTTGTGCATCGTGTGCACGTGCATTGTGAATTACTTAGCCGGCGTATAAGATGTTTTCTGATCAAGAAGTAGGTGTTAATGTACAGAGAATGTTAGTACAATTTAAATGAGACTTGAAATTTTTATTAGTAACAGACGACAACCTGACAGTAGAACAGTGCAAAAGGCAGTTCAAAGGTTACGAGATGCCGAAAATGTCCACGTGACATATGAAAGCTACAACGAAGAAAACATCATAAACCTCGCTGAGGAAAACCCGAGGCGCAGTACTCGCGACATTGGCCGAGAGGTGGGTGTATCTAACAGTATCGTGTGGCGTGTACTACGAGAACAAAATGACAATGATTTTCAGCCCCGTGTGGAATTCTGTCAGTGGTTTCGACATCAACAGCACAAGATCCGGATTTTGACAAGCAAGGTGCTTTTTACAAATTTTTTTTTGTTTTACTAGAGACGACATACTAAATTTTCACAACATTCAGTATTGGTGTGATGCAAATCCTTACGTTGTACAGAGATCTCGGATCCAGTATCGGTTTTCAGTGAATGTGTGGTGTGGTGTTTGACAGAATTTTGACCGTCGTTTGGAAGCATGTTTATTAGCACATGGAAACAACTTTGAACAATTTTTATAGAGCATGTCAGTAAGAAATACCTAGTTCATTTAATTATTCTATTTTACGTAAATCATAAATTTCCAAATATTGAGTATCTGAATTATTCACAATAGCATTGACAAAATAGGATTATTTTTTTTATGGCATTCTGTAAGTACTGAAATGGATTAAATTGAATTGATTATCAAAATATTAGACTAATGACTGAATTATAGAGTAAGAACAATACATGCACAGAAAATAGTGCTTATTCTAACACTTCATTTATAAAATTTAAATATGAGACAGAGGAATTGTTTTAAATATTTTTTTTTAATGCACAGAAAATTATACATACCATACCGTTCACTATTATAAGTGGTTTTTGAGTAATATTTCCGAAACGGTAATCGATCCAATTAAAATTTGTTACATACATTTAGGGGTGGCCATATCCCTGGCCGAGAAATAGTCAAATTTCTGGCCTTTTTACGTACCGAAATCTTGAAAAATAAAACGTGTAGAACAAAAGGAAGCCCAAAAATAAAATCATTGATGTTCTGTTTATTCATTGTTACTCAAATAAAATAATAACTTAAAAAAGCGTTTGTAAAACATGCGTTTGCTGTTATCCTAACCCCACATTTTAAGAATTATTTTCACGTACTTATAAATAAAAGTAAACAATTTTATATGTAGGACTAAGCAAGTAAATGTTATAAGAATATTTACATGTGGAATTATATATAAAAAAGTTAGTATTTTCGTAAATTTCAGTACCTAAAACCTTGATGGTTTGATCGTTTTTTGCACCTGTTTATTCGTTTTACTGCGGCGTCTTTGAAAATACACAGATGTTATGACATAACATTCCCGTTATTTGATAAGCTTCAAATTATTCAGTTATTAAATTACTTAAATTATTTGTCTTTGTGTAAAACACTATTTCAAGAATATGGCGCCCTTAATGCAAACACCATTTCTAGTTCATACCGAGGTTTTCTGTAAAAAAAAATCTTTCAAAAATACATACTTGTTGATATTATTTTATATAAATTAGAAAAAAATATCTTAATTGTTAATTTTATTGGAAAACTATAATGGATATTCCTAAAATAGTATAATAATATATTATTTCGTATACAAAAATACGACTAACAAAACTTGACGTTAATTTCAAATTATGTTTACAAACATAATCAACAAAACATATTCTTCTAAGTGATAGCGAAAATATTTTGTAATTGAGATATCGAATATCTAAAATGAAAACATTTTGCCTGTGAGGGGCTCTGGCTTTAATAATAGTAACGATAACGTTATCTTGAATAAAAAATCACAGGTGTTTTCCATATTACTATCTAAATGGTTATTTCAATTAAGATTGAGAAAAATTACATGTTGAAATATTTTAGATCATTGGAAAAAAATACCTTAGAGATTAGCTGCGAAATATAAATTAAATTTTTTTATTGCACTATCAATAGGTATCTCTAGGTATATCAATAGGTATTTTTAGAAAAAATATACCTATGCTTTACCTATATTACATTTATGGAGAAAAATTGTATTAAATTGGATGATGATGGCAGATGCAAAAGCAGGTTAAATTGTTGGGAAAGACTTTATTTAACAGTCATATTTAAAGAATTTTAGGAGATGACAAAAATATTAATTTATATTATGAATAGCCTACATAAGATCTAATAGGCAATTATTCTAGGCAAGACTCCCATAAGCAATGTGTTCCGCCAACTTTCTTATTAAAAATTAAATATTTAATTTTAGGTGGTTTAGTGAACTGTAACCTGAGGGGTTATTTCCTTAATTATCTAACTTTAATTAATTATCTATTTGATGCTCGAAAGAGTTACTATTCAATTTTCGAAAGAGTGACTACTTAATTCTCGAAAGGGAGTTTATTTAGTTATCGTTATACTTTAATTAACACGTGGGAACTTAGAAATGTTGTATGTTCAGAAAATTAATTCCAAGCGCTTACCCTTTCATTGCTTTCGTGGGATGTAATCCAGTGGCTGACTATACAGGGTAGCACTGTAGTTGCAGAAACAAAGGAAATACAAAACTTCCAGGAAGGGTTTTTTTAACAATAAACAAAACAAACAAAATAACAACACAACGACTCGAACAGCATTATTAATGAATTGATTCAACCGCGACAGCGTACCGAGATTCAGGGAATGCGCGCTTATACAAATTTAGAAAAACTATCAAAATTAATTAATTAGCCCGAGATTTTAAAGTTAATAATTAGTCTGCTCAATGTGAAACTTAAGAACGATCTCCTTTTTCGAGATCTCACCCGAATTCCACACTTCGCTTTGACACGCCCATATCTTGGGTCCAGAAGTTTCGGTTCTTATCTTATTGGCGAGAACACTGAATGTCGGCATGCCTTAATAATTAGGTTAATAATTATTTAATTAACTTGACTTACATTTATATAAGAATAATTATATGACTTATTAGTAACCCTAGCCCTCCCCTACGACTCCGCGTAGCAATTACGGGACGGATTAGTCGATCTCATTTAATCTACTCTTATAGCTAGGAAAAATCCGTCAAAAAAACCCAGCTGCTTAGGTATACTCTCTTTTCGAATTATTAACAATTTTACAATATAATTTAATTCTAATGTGGAATCTTTACGCTCTTTCTCGCGGTTTCGCGCGTTATTAAAAAGATGGGGTCTACGCGGTGCCTCCCAGACGCTTAACACATGGCGATACGTTTTTAAGAAATTACTTTACCCGAAGTGTTTTGAGCTTGTTCTCATTATCGGTTTTTAAATTTATTAGTTCCTGTGACAAAAGTTCTTCAGACTACCCTCTGAATATTGGTGCCCATAATACTTAACCGGGTCATTCTTAGAACTATTGAGCCCTTGTTTTCTTGAAAACCGTCCCATAAATTACGCGGATCTGGTTTTTGTTACAGAACAATTTATATAGTACCTATATACAATTTAAAAAAGCAACTGTAAATACTTTTTAAAAAGCAAAATAGATAATATTTATATCTATTCAGTGTAATATTACATACAGGATGTTTTAAAAATACCTGTACAACGTAAGACAAAGGATTCCCTAAACCAAAATGAGTCAATTTAGATTAAGGCCTCTTTGGTGTCAGAAAATGATGGTATATTTAATTGATCATTCATTACATTGAGCCAAAATTGTACCGATAAAAGCTCCTATGGATGTACCACGTACTTGTTTATAAAATTCCCAGGTAAAAATAAAAAAAAGTTGAGTCAAAAATAATAGTAGAATTTTTTTAAATAATTAATTATAGTAAATTTATTTTTGACACTGATATTTATTTTAATCAGGAATTTTATAAACAAATCCGTGGCACACCAATGCGAGCGTATATTGAGTTCAATTGTGCATTTAATTTTAAATTTTCATTCGCCTTTTTTAAAGAAATACGTGGATGACATAACCTGTACACAAGATGGAAAACAGCACATTTTATATAATTTTAATGAATATGATATGCATATTTAGTTTACTATTAAAAGAGAAACATACAGGGTGTAGCGTGTATAATCTATAAAAATTAAACTACAGCTTCCTAACGATATTTGTAATAGAAAGGTCTTATACGAAAAAGTTCTATTTTTGCGATTTTTTTTTCCGTAAATTAAAGTTCAGTTATGGACCAAAATATTTTCTCTGGAACGGTCCTGTCCGTGTGCTGTACGATGAGTTACGTGATAGATACTTCTCAATTTTTGGGGAATTTTTCAATGTAAAAGTACAAACTAAGAAAAATAGATATTTAAAAAAAAACTTATATTTTCATATTTTAATAATTAATAGTAATTACTATTTTAATTGCATTGTTGTTACTGCAAGAGTTTGCAAATAAAGTCACATCCGTAAGCATCTGTAGTTGCCAACTCCATGCACTAAACAAACTCCATTAAAATATGGAACAAAATGAAATAAAACTTACCATTTCTAGAGAAAATGTTGAAATTGTTCCCCATTAGCGCGGATACAGGCATGGCACCGATGCACCAATTTTGGCGAATATTTTCCCAAATTCCAGGTATTCCCCTAATTGTGTCAGCAGCTTCAAGTATACGGTTTCGCAATTCTTCCACCGTAGCAATTGGAGTATTGTAAACCAATGACTTCAAGTGACTCCAAAGATAAAAGTTCAATGGAGTTAGATCGAGTGACCGAGGTTGCCACGGCACAGGACCAAAGCGTCCAATCCATTGTTGAGGAAACATTTCGTTCAAAAGTGTCGTTACTTCTCGAGTACTGTCTGAAGGAGTCCCATCTTGAAGATAAAACATGCGTGTCTGAACTTGTAATGCCATATCGTCCAATAATTCAGGCAACCGGTTCTTCAAAAAGTCAGCATATGTTGGTCAATTTAGTAGTCCTTCAAAGAAATAGGTACCCACAAGTACATCGCCTATTATGCCATCCCAAACATTTACCGAGAACCGATGTTGAAAATGAGTTTCCCTAATCGCGTGAGGATTTTCATCGGCCCATATGCATGTTATGGAAATCCACTTCATCACGGGTAACTGTCGCTTCATTTGTTCCACAAAACATAAGCAGGAAAGTCTACTTGATTGGCACATTGCCGTAAAACCATCTGCAAAAACGAATTCGTTGATCACAATCCGGGGGTAAAATCTGTTGAACTGATTGCAGATGATAAGGGTGCAACAGCTGGCGCCTGAAGATGCCATGTACGGTACGAGATGACGTTCCTACTTGCTGTGCGAGTCGTCAAGTATTAATTGTGGGGTCTTCGTCAAGATTTTCCAACACTGCATCTTCAACATGAAGGTTCACTTGCTGACCACGTCCTTCTCCTCGAGGAATAACACTTCCCGTATCTCACAGCCGCTGAACGCACTGTAGGATTGTATTTGCACATGGAGGGTGACGTTGCGGCCATCGTTCCCGATAAAACCTAGTCGCCACGAGCGCATTTTCTCCGGCTACACAATACATTAACACCACATGGACATGTTCGGAAATAGTAAATGCATTGTTTTCTCGGTTCATTGTAAAACTAGTTATAAACTAAAAAAATAAGTAAAATAAATAATAATCTCATTTTTAATGTAATCCCACGCTATTCTTAGTTTTTATTTCTTTATAAAAATTACACTGTCGCTGTCGTGGAATTACAAAATAAAAACTTTTGTCTGGAATCTTTCATTTTTTAACACTGATGGGTCGATGGATGATGCTTAATATTTAATAATTAAGTGAATAATGAAATTAATACAAATACAAAATCAGTTGACTGCACAAATTTTTTGACAGTGTAACTTAACCTTCTTTTAGTATTACTAGTATTAGATTATATCGACTTAAATTATAAGGTTGTATCTCGGGTCGAATAAAAACATTTCCAAAATTTTTAATAAATAACATAGGGTCGGCCCTCATTTTCGTTGAATAAATTAACTTTAACTTACAAAAAAAACGCGAAGATAGAATTTTATCGTATAAGAATTTTCTATTACAAATATCATGAGGAAGCTGTAGTTTAATTTTTATAGATTATTCACGCCACACCCTGTATAATAGTGTACCTTTCCTCGATACTAGACTAATTTGGACACTAAATAACAGAATTATACTATGTAGATTGGTACATAGAACCAATTGGTAACCAACAATTTATGAAACATATCTACTAAGAATATGGAAATTAATTTGGTACGTAAAAATGAAAACAAGGATACAAAGAATCAGCTATCCTTGCCCTGTTGACAAAAATTTAAAAAATCTTTATAACATTTAAAAAAATTCTTACCCACGGTTTTTTTAAAAGGTTATCTTTTAATACAGGTAATCAGTATAATGTAATAAATTCTATAGGTGGTCCTATAAATAATAAATAATTATAATTGTGAGCAATCAAAGAAATTGGTGCTTCTATTTCTTTTATTCAAAATGTTACCCCTAATTTATTAAATATATTTAAAAATAAAAATCATATTAAATTAACACAAAAATGTAAAAAAAAAATTGGAAATATACATAGTAAATTAAATGATGCTGATGATCAAAAAGTCAGGGGTGGTGTATGATATTCCTTGTAACAATTCTGATAAAATTTATATAGGTCAAACGTCTAGGGTATTAAAGGATCGATTAACATAAAATAAGTAATATTAGGTAAAAAACAATCGTGTGCTTTGCCGGAGTATAGTATTGAAACCGAACATAAACCAAATTTTAGTGAAACAAAGGTAATTTGCATAGATAATAATTTCAATAAAATATTTTTTTTGGAAGCTTTTGAAACAGCCTTTAATAATAATATAATTAATTAAATAAAAAAGAGATACTCAAAATCTACCTACTCCTAGTTATGAATTACTAATATTTATTGACATTGTTGAAATAAAATTGCATGATATTTATTGTATATATTTGTTCATAATATTTAGTGCATTGAAAAAAAAATATAATGATAGAAAAATTTTATTCCAGTTTTTTCTCCATGAGATAACATTAATAATTAATAGACTTATTTTACGTTTAAAATTTTATTCAGTTTTGACTAGACAGTAGTTGTTCAGAATAATGAAAATTTAAATTTTATCTCACTGTTTTTAGTTTAGCCATTTTTAACCTTGAGAACGATAATAATAAATGATTTTGGAAAGCTTGGCTCATAGTTAAAAAGAGTTTTCTTTCAATTTATTGACGACATCTCCAATATTTGTTTTTGTTGGAATATATACAGGGTGTTTCAGAAAAACCTACCGTAAGTACAGGGGGTGATAGTGCGACAAAAAATAAGAATTTTTTGTCTTATGAACTATATATCTATCTCCTCTTGTTTTCGATATACAGAGCGACAAAATAAAATTTTTTAAGTAGAATTTTTACGAAAATTTCCAAACGGTGAGAAATATTTTTATGAAATTTGGTATTCCGGGGTATTTAAGGATGCCAAATACGTTGGTCTAATTATTATTTGTATATTTCATAGAGGGCGCTAGTTATGCTACATTTGTATTACATTTTAAGTTCTAATTTTTTTGAGGTTAGGTTTTTCGGGCTCCAATTTCTAATGTACAATTTTATTTTCTAAAAATAATGTACTCTTTTTAGAACTTCCTAAGAATTTTTAAACATTTAGGTATATCTATTATAATGAAGGGATTCTTTAAAAAATTATTATAAAAAATATTAGAATTGACGTTTTTTTTTTAAATAAAAGAAAATAGTAATTTTATTTTAGTTTTATTTGAAAATAGGGGCAACATATGTAATCATTTGTTTATGCCTCACAAGTGTCCACTAAACAATGGGTCTCGACAACTTTCTTGTAGTAAGAAATTGACGTTTTTTTTTTTAAATAAAAGAAAATAGTAATTTTATTTTAGTTTTATTTGAAAATAGGGGCAACATATGTAATCATTTGTTTATGCCTCACAAGTGTCCACTAAACAATGGGTCTCGACAACTTTCTTGTAGTAAGAAACGGATGTTTTTGGCGTTCTGGTTCTATTAGCACTGTCGAAGTCTACATGGTAGAGTCCGAATTTTACTCTGAAAAGAGAAAGCAATTAAAACAGTTCAGATCACCGATTGATTTCCTTTTCATATAATTTTTGTAGCATGAAAATAGTTATTTGCATAATATATTAAATTTTTTCCTAGTTTTTATTTAATTAAGATAAATAAGTGGTATTTTATTTTGCAAAATTAAAATAAATTAAATAAAATAACTAAAACATATATTTACAATAAATTAAGTAATGCATATAAAAATGTCCTGACATGCTAAAGACGTATTCAAAAACAGGTTAATTAGGTTACTTAAGACATATCATGTTTTTAAAAAATGTTTACTTTTTTTTATTAACTTACGTATAACCCTGTGACCATTCGAAATTATCCATAAGACTCCATGCAGTGTAGCCAAATACATTCACTCCATCCTCCAAAGCACTTCTTACATTGCTGAGATAATCCTGCAATTGTTCAGTGCTTATAAAATATTTTTAAATCAAAAGCGATTATTTGAAATTTCGTTACTTACAATTTGTGCAATTATATTGGAGTGGATTAGTTTAATGTACCAATGTAAAAGAATCGTGATACTTAGGGGAAGGGGGTCTAGTTGTCATAAATCTTACATCATCGTTACTAGCTGTTTACACTATTTGCAATTAATATTCCTTCAATTATTAACTTAAGACAACATTTTTCTAATATATTCGACAAAAATAATTGAAATATTTAAATCAAAAACATTGTTTTTTTCGTGACATTTGAGACAATTTACCCCAGTTAGTGTATTAGTTGTCACAGTCGATGGAGAAAGATGGCTAGTATATTTTATATTTTTAAATACATCAAAAAATGTCTTAGATTATGGGAGATAAAAACAGATTAAAATGTACATAAGAGTTTGACGGTTTTTTGGGATTACCAAGTAGGTATATGACATAAATATATTACCCTGTAAAAAGTAACTCTCTCAACATCATCTAAGGTGGAACCATCATCAGGGGTGCCATTTTCTGTAATTATAATTTCTGGATTGTTGTAGGTCTTCTTCAACCAATTTAGTAGTTTTCTCATGCCCCATGGAACTGACTAAATGTCAAAAGAAAATCTTACTACATTATTTTATAATAATGATAATAATAATAAGTAATATATATTAACAAAATATGAGATGTTGGCCATTTTTATGAGATGTTAGTTGGATAATATTAATGCAGAGATTATTCTATAGCTCTGAAAATATTTTAATCTGATATAAAATGTTTAATAAATACTGTGGGTGATTTTAGATACTTTTAAACCGTGTTATGTACCAATTTTTTATCAAGGACCCATTATAAATTGGTATCTAGTTGTTGGGAGCATTTATAGTAATCAAGTTGGTTGACAAAGTGTAAATATTCCGTTTTGATTCAATTCTGTAGCTCTTTATTAAAGCAAAAAGATACCTTAAACCCAGGTACCGAGGACGAGTTCCAGTGCGTATTAACTCCCATGTCGTAACTGTAATTTGGTTCCCCAATTGGTACTTCATCCATGGCTGCTACTGTATTTGTAGAATACGAATTGAGACCCATGTAATCGAAAGTGCCGCTGATGTATGCAATTTCTTCGTCAGTGAATGCTGGAAGACGGGACTGGTTGAAGCCTTCAGCTAAACTACGTTCTGCAATGCGAGTCTTCATTATCTCTGGGTAGTCGCTGTTATAGATATGATTTGCATACCATCCATACTAAAAAAAATCGCAAATACTTTTGAATTTCGCTTATGAATATTTTTATATTTGAATATGTATATTGCGATCTCACATTAGGCTAAGTTAAAATAAATCATACAAATAGGTAAACATGTAATTACTTGCTACTTACGTCGAATTGTATTCCTCTTTCAGCAGCAGCTACATCTTCTTCACTGTCAGTAGCAGGTTCATACCAACTAGTATCAATAGTGATTGACACTTGCCCTGAAAATCATTATTATTGTTTTGTAAATCTTGACATTGTACTGGCTGTACCCTCGAATATGGTAGCTTTTATTTATTTATATATTTACGTGTTGAAATCAGTAGAAACCTCAGAATTTCATCGGCATTGAGTATTGTACAAATTTAAACAATGCTTTTCAAATTTTTTTTATCCATTATGTTCAAAGGGATCGGATTTTTTTAAATTTTGAAATGAGCTGGTATAACTAAAAAAACTTCGTTTGATCCTTGAAAAGAGCATATCAAACGAGATTGTGCACTTTATGTAGAATGAGATGGGAGTTCAAGTATCAGGTAACCCACAGTACAGACGAAACAGACCGCGTGTTAGACGCTGGAAATTGGTCTAAACAAAAACAAAATTAAGGTTCCGGAAGCCGGTATCCAACTGGTACAAGCTTACATTCTGAGTTAGCTACTTGGAAATCGATGTTGCCAAATAAAAACACGAGCTTAATATCAGATAATATGTTTTTTTTTACACATCTTAATTATTAGTTTAAGTTTGACAATGGACATAGATTTAGTTTTTTTTTTGCTTTTAATTCGTTGTACGTGTAATTAAAATTTTCTGACTGGGGTTTATCAAAAAGATCTATTCAATGAAAATACTATCAACTTTCTCGTACTTCCTCTTATACCGGGAGTCATCATCAGCTCTGTTCTTTCAAATGGAATATTATGTATATTTATGCATTTTTTAATTCTACGGCAAATTGTATTTTCATATAAGGTACTATATAGGCCAAAATGTGACAGTTTCGAAAAAAATTGAGGGATGTAAGTCATTTTTGAAAATAGAATAACTTCTGACATTTTGCTTTATTTATTAATGAAAGACATGGATAATTTAAAAGCAATGGAATTCAACCAGTTTATGTCAAAAATTCATACAGAGTGTTTAAAAACGTGTGGCCAATATTGTGACTTTGAAGTTGAATTTACTTAAAATTTTCAAATGGTGCACGTTGTATAGCATTATATTAATGGATGCAGAATTAAATTTACTTTATAAATAGTTCCCTATACCCAAAGTTAACAGTTCTTGTGTAAATTGAAAATTATTGATTTCAACACAGAAAAATCTAACGGGTATGGAGGGTTTATTTAAAGCATCGTCCTTTTTAATTTAATATACTGAATTATTGTTTTTTATGAAGGTATAATAATAAAAATTACAGTTCATTAATCAGACACCGTTTATTAATCAATTCTTTAGCCATCAAATCCACCATACATTTTTCTGTGTTGAAATTAATTTACACAAGAACTGTTAACTTTGGGTATAGGGGTATCATTTTAAAGTAAATTTAACTGTGCATCCATTAATGTTATAATATACAGGGTGTACCATTTCAAATATTTGAGTAAATTCAATTTTAATGTCACAATATTGGTCACACGTTCTTAAACACTGTATGAATTTTTGCAAATTTGACATAAACTGGTCGAATTCCATTGCTTTTAAATTATCTATGCCAAATTTCCTTAATAAACAAAGTTAAATGTCGGAGTTATTCTGGTTTCAAAAATCATTTGCATCCCTGCAAAAAAATGTAAAAATGTACAGAATGTTTCATTTGAAATAACAGAGTATGATGATGACTACCGGACTATACCGTACTATACTGGAGTATAACACTTTGCGCTAGTCCATAAAATAGAATTTGATCGTCTTGATCGTATAAAAAGTAACTATTAATCTAGAGGATAGTAATGTAATTAATATTGTTATGAATAGGTATTGGTACTGCCAAGTAAATACTTAGGTTTTATCTATTATATCTATTTTACTAAAAAATTAAAAATGTTTATTAATTTTTTCATATCTAAGTATGAGTTGATGGTATTAGGGTAGATAACAAAAATTATTAACTTTTTTTTCACTTTATACAAGGAGATTTAAGATTGATATTGACAATACTTTTAGAAGAACTTAGGCCATTCGCGTCCAAGGGCAATGCAGTCAACACTTTGACAATTTGTTATTTAAACTTTTTATAATATGGTAATCCTGACCGCTTACAAATGTCAAAGTTTGTAGATGTATCAGCCATTACTTTCCCTTATCTGTTAGCGTGGCTTATACAGGGTGTTTCAGGCCACCCGTCCACCTCTTCTGAAATGTAGGGTAGGTATCTAATAAAATGAAAAATACAATGCCTCCTAATAGTGAATGGACTGTCAGTTTTTTTAAATGGAATGGCATACTTTTTCTTATTGATCTCGATTCTGCGCCGAAAACTGAAAAACTTGTAAATAATTTTTTTTTCTACATCGTTTCCCACCCCAAAATGCCTTCCGAATGTAAGCGTTTCCCTGAGAAGTGACACAAAGAAATGAAGCACGGTAGTGTACTACCAGATAACCTAAATATGTAGGCACTGCTACGATTGCCCACTCATGGACATGGTAGCATACTAAAAAAACTAAAAGGGGCGAGACTGCTAGTTATATATAGCAAAGTTAGCAGGGAGTCCGGCAGCTCAGTGAGATAGGGCGCGGAGGTGCAGTCTCTATCTCTGCTGGTGCATCAAGGCTACGATAACTAAACGAAAATTATAAAATAACGAAAGAGTATAGTAACTTTAAGATTTATGGTAATGAAAAGGAAAATAAATCAATTAACTATGACTAATAACTGCTTTGATTGGTCAAGCTATGATCATAATAAGAATAGGCCATAGGGGGTGGCACTAGACCCAAAACGGTTACAGAATCGTACCAGTACGTCCCCGTTTGTGTTACAAATCAATGGTATATATTTTAGTACAATTAATATGAGGAATAAGAAGGCCTCCCGTAGTATATACTATGTGGTTTACAGGCTTATAAGCGTTAAATATAATGTAATATTAAATGGCAATAAATTATTTGAGGGCTTCTTTCAATAAAATGGTAAACCATTTAAGGGCGTGGCTCCGTCGGGTGAATCTTGGAACGACTAACGGGTAACGTAAAATGATATAAATTATAAATATGACCTTATCGTCCGGTGGTATAAGGATCCTGGGTGATAAGTAGTCCTCCACGGAGTGACCACGTGCTAATTTTGAGGTTGGTTGCGGCTGGTGTTTCGTTTCCTCGATCTCCGATGTTCTAACTGGGTGTTATCAAATTATTGGGGCTGCTAGCTCCACGATGTATTATGTAAGTCGGTCCCAGAATGGACGACCATAGAGAATCACAAAGAAAAGGCCTAGAAATGAACGGAGTTATTGCGGGCAATAAAGGCAGTGAGGGTGAATAGATTCACCTCCTCAAATTTGTATAAACGGCTCTCATTAAAACCAAAATGTGACAATTAGCTTTACCTGAAATGTTGTGCCGCCTTTCTTATTAAGTCCTGTTGCACTTCACACCAAAAATCCAGACACTAATCTGCGTTCTAGCTACAACGACAATAACCAGTGGTCGCAGTGCAACGGATTAATTAATTAATCAACTGGGGTAGATCCGCAATTTTGCGTTTTGACTGCTTTCTTTCATGCCTAAATACCAAGTCCGTCTTTAATTTTATTTCAAGCCGCAAAAACTTATTGTCTTTTTGCCCGTATTCGGCGGTGATAGAATTATAAAGCCGTTCATTTCTAGCTGGAGCGAAATTATTGATATAATAATATTTATTGCCGCAATAAAATAAATTCGGCATTTTACAGGGTGACAAAATAAACCCGTAACAGTACATTAACGAGGTTGTCTCCACTGTAAAAATTTGTTAAATTAATGTCTGGACTTTATATTACATATACTTATTTTATACTTTGTGGTTTACCTGCGCAACTTCGACTTCGTGAGTTTCACTTTTAGATAAAGTCGAAAGTTATTAATTTTACAAACTTTTACAGTACATATTTAGAGTTACCTGGTAGTAGAGTACTGCGCTTCATTTCTTTGAGTCACTTCTTAGGAGAATACTTGTCGATATAGAAGAAAAAAATTACAAAAGTTTATTAGTTTTCATCGGAGAGTCGAGATACTTCAAAAGTATAAAAAAGACTTACGTTGAAACTCTACATAACTCCTAAAACAATATCGAAATTTTGAAAAGAATGTATTTATATGTACATCTATTTTTTAGAAATTCCGTAAACTGATTCCGTGGATCGAATTATTTTAGAATTACTCAATTGGCATTGAAAAATTCTAATTGAATATTCGACCTTGGTTGACGTTATTTAAGTCTATTTTTACTTCTAACTAGATAAGACGCATTAGCCCAAGTTGCATCAGTTTTTGTCAGAAATATTTCAAACATTGTATGTATTTTTTCTAATTTCGGTACCTTGTATCCCAAAAACGAAGCGAACTTCGACTCACGTTCGTACGAATTTTTTTGCTTAAAACAGTGTTTTCTAACATCTAATGCATTTTCCTGATCACATTGTATTAAATTCTTTTCAAGACTATATAGGAAACTACAAAAAAGAATCTTGTTATAAGGGGAAAGATGTACAAAATGATCCCTAGGGGTAAAATGATCCCGGATGTGTTCATTGGCGCCATTAGTTTTAAATCACCACTAATAACGTAAATTTAATTATCGACACGTCTTTAGTACGGTGTTGTTCTATCTGCAGCGTCAGTTAACTTTTACGTGGGTGGCGAGAGATATTAAAAGTTTGTATCCTGTGATCTAAGGTAAGCTTCAATATAGTAATGTGTTTTTCCAATGCCGAATGGTTTTTTTATTGTTTTGGCACCGGTAAGTACACAAATTTTAATATCAAGGTTAATTTAGGTATATTAGTTAAGAAAGTCCACACTTGTTTATGTTAGGTATGACGTTTCAAGTTTCGGAACACCGCGTGGAGCAAAATGATCTCCCCGTCTTTGTACAAAATGATCCCGGGATCATTTTGCCCTCAAGTTTTTTATCACGAAATTGATTTGCTCTAGTGTTTTGTTTCTTTCAAAATTTTCTATAATGCCAAGCATTATGTGCGCAAAACTAATAGACAAAGCTGGGACCCCGACGCTATGACTTCGGGTTCTAATGATCGACTTTTAGTGATCGACGTGGCGAGGGATGGATCCGTTGCAAAGTGTACAACAAATGGGGACATGAAGAGTGTGCAGGAATTGATAGCGATGACGACGATGATGATTATACTTGTGAATTTTGCCTAGAAGAACATTTTGTTCAAGTGCGCAGAAAATTAACAGATTTTTGAAAATCTAGTATTATTATGAATACTTATTTTGAATGTTGATTTCGTTAAAAATATTTATATATTTTGTTTTTGTTAAGGCCTTAAATAAATTTATATTTGTACATGTTTTTTTTATTCATTTAAAAACCAGGGTCAAAAAGCTTTTTGGGGATCAATTTGTCCACACTCATGAGATCATTTTGTACATCCCGCTGTACAAAATGACCTTTTGGTAGGGCTGGAAATTTTTATTTTAAGAACTTTGTCATTTACAGAGAAATAAATATCATCTCATAAAATAGAAGCTAATGAATATTACTATTGGAAAATTAATGGTTTTTGATGTAAGTGCAAAAAATTTAAATTTTGTGGTAGTTTTTCCTTAGAGGGATCGTTTTGTACACGTTTCCCCTACAGTTTATAAAATAGTATGTTTACATAGCACTTAGGAAGATCACTGTCACTTCCATTTTCGTAAAAACCAGTTTATGAAGGCGGAAGTACACTTACTGACCTGCTCGTGTCATGGGCATGTACTATTTCATTAACTGTACTGATATAATTTTTCCTTTAAGTCGAATAGCTTTGACAAACATTTAAACTATAGTCGTAAAGTTGGAAATTTTCAAAGAAAAGAAAAAACCAAAAAACACATGACCATTTATCTAACTTCAAACATTAAAGTAATCTAAAAATTTTGTGAAGTTAAAATAAGGTTCTATTCACTTGAGTATCGAGTTCCTTGAGTATATTTTTTAAATATTTCCTACTCATTCAGTTAACGAGATTAAGCAATAACATGATTGTTTTAAAAATATATACATATTTTATCTTTTCAGTTTAATCAGCTGATATTTGAGTATTAAAGAAAACACATTTTTAAAAACTCGAGTTTACTCTTTTGAAACCACTAGTTTTGTTGTAGAAGAGATTGTTTCAATGCGTCTGAAAGTCCCAACATCAAAACGTTTCGATCCCAAAATATTGGAATGTTTCTGTATTGTAAATCCCGATAATATTATATAATCTCTCTTTAATGCAATTAATACAGTACCTTGTTGTGCAAACCGAAATTCTTCGTCATAGATATGCCAAGCCCTAGCATGAGCTTTGAGTACGTGGTGGGCACATATGTATCCTCCTATCCCTGGCGCTTCAATCCCTGGAGCAGCACGTCCTTCATCATAACCGCCTTGACATGTGTGCTTGGGTTCGTTAAACGTTAACCAGTATTTCACGTCGTCTCCAAAGAGTTCAAAGCATAGCTTCGCGTATTCCGCGAAAGCTTCTACTATGAACTCGCTTGTCCATCCCCCGAGGTCCTGTAAGGGTTGTGGTAAATCCCAGTGATACATGGTGATCAAGGGTTCGATGCCATTATCTTTTAGATCTTTGATTAGGTTCTTGTAATACGTCACTCCGGGAAGGTTAACTTTATTTACGAATCCTAGAAATCGCAGAATATATTTTTAGTGTATTTTAATATAAATAACCATTACTGGAATAACGTTTAATATATGAATGCCAATAACCAGTTGTTAAAGTTGGATTCTCATAAAAAATAAATAATATCGTCATATAAATATTAATAAATCCCGAACAGTAAAACAGATACAACCAAGAAATCAAGAGAATGTGCCACTAGCATAAGTTTTTGTCTAATATTATCCTTATAGCATACTTTTGCGACTATTAGAGAAATTATGCATCCATTTTTTTAAAGTAGGTATTATGATAAATGGAAAGAAATGTAATTCCTAAAATTTGAAAATTACCTGTAGGGAGGATTCTTGACCAGGATAGTGAAAATCGATAAAAATCAACTCCTAATTCTTTCAGCATAGCTACGTCTTCTTTGTACTTGTGGTAGGAATCACAAGCCACATCACCAGTGTCGTTATTAACAATTAATTCAGGATGAGAGTGTGTATAACGATCCCAAATATTTTCACCTTTGCCATCTTCATCCCATGCACCTAAAATAACGAATTTATTTTTGTAACTAGAGCAAAATTTGCAAATATTGTTGGGATGTTCTCTTTCTATTTTCGTATAAAAATAGGTAACCATAATTATTTTGATCCACGTTCTTTTTAAAAAGTAGTACATAAAGTGTAAACTGACAAAGTAAATAACATTTACTTACTTAACATTTGTGCTTATTGCCAACATGGTCTTAGTAAAACTTCCTTTACAAATTAAAAAAAATGGCAACTTGCCTGACACTATTAAATATTATTTGAGAAGCATGGTAAAGCAGTTATTTGACTCTTATAGTTTCATTAATGTTTCGAAATAAAAAAGCTTAGCAGTCAAATAAAAAATATTTTAGATATGATTCTTTACTATAATATCAAGTGTCATGTCAATTACTACAAACAATTTAATCAAATCATGTTTAGAAATTGTTATCTATGTCATGAACAGAGAAAATTACCTTCTACTTGATAAGAGGCTGTGGCTGCACCAAACATAAAATCTTCGGGAAAAAGTTTATTATTAGTTTCATCTTCTGCTATACTAAAAAAATAACCATTATGTATGTACCTATTGATCAACCATTGACACCATTAAGTTGAGCTTTTACGTATTTTAAAATCTACCATATTTTTATTAGTTGTTGACTTCGGGTGAGATATATGAGAATTAATAATACTGGACGGTCTGTAATTTGCAGAATAGTTGTTTTCTACAACATTGTATGTTCTCAATATTCTCACTTTTTGAAACATATGTACAGCACATTCTCTACGATATTTATTCGGCTTTAGAAGGAAAGACCTATAAATATTTATTAATCATACTTTGCAAGATCCATTACATACTCTACTATTTGTTTTAATATGAGTATCCTAAACATAAACAGTCCCATTTCAAAATTCAATTTGTTTATATAATGAAATAATAAATGTTTTAATAGATATTTTTTAACACAGAGCCTACGAACGTGTTTTGGAAACTCACCTAATAGCAAGCAAGCAGCAAAGTATAACACCTCTCAGAGACATGGCTACTTTTGCGATAAATTCACTTAAAATGTACCCTATATATAAGCGTTCATAACAAATAGCATTTTACGTTGAAGTACTTCTCTGTTTGAAGTAGCGTGCGTAGGTACATAAAATGATAAACTATTTTTGGCAATTTTTTAATTATGATTTACAATAATATAAAATGATACATAATTAGTTTGTTTGTGGTATGTTTGAAGTACTGAAATTGATATTATCAAAACATAGGTTAACAAGTAAATTATAGAGTAAGGGCATTGAAAAGGTTAGGTTCTAATCTGCTAAACTGAAATGATTTATACAGAAAACATTCAGCAAGGAAGTGTTTGTTAACTTAGGGGAAACCCATTTTAGACTTGTTTTATAGTAACTTTTTATAACATACATCAGGTATACATTATTACTTCTTCACCCTTCCATTTCAAATAAAAAATATGTCTGATCAAATTATACTGAGTGATTCACAACTTATTAAAAAAAAAATTGGGAATAGATGTGTCATGAAAAATGGAGTCAAAATCGTAAAAAAATTTCGTAAAATTCTTTTAGTTTCCGAGAAAAAATTTAATGTAGTCTCCAGCGTTTTTCGCGTTGTGCGCTGTACACAGTGCCTTCTCTCTACACGTGGCTCCAGGCAATTCCGAATACTGATATTCGATTATAGTATTAACGTTTTTGCGATAGGGTTTACATTAGTTTTTCAAGTGTCAAAAATGGGTTACGTGTATAGCAACTCGGAGATTATATTGTTTTATTTTATGGTGAAGCAAGACAACATTTGTGTTAGTTCAAAGAAACTGTGTAAAACGGGCCCAAATGTCTTTACACGTTGGTGGACAAAATTTTGAACAGTTGTTCTAACATCAGATATGTCAAATTATTGTATTAATTAAAAACACAAATTAATTTTATTAATTAATAATAACAATAGTGGCAAAAACAGTTGAATTTGCTGACTATAAAATAGGTGTTATAAAATTTTATTTATTTCCTTCCTTAGGAAAGAAATTCTTTCAATTTTTTAACAGTTCATTTTTTATTACACTGCCGCCGTGCCTGTGGCCGACTGCATGCTTTGCCTTGCGCAAGATCAGGTTTTATAGTTGACCAGTTTCCAGTGCCGTGCAGAAGTGTATTTTCAAATCATTTTCGGACAGTTCTTTTTGATTTTTTTTACAAAATTCTATTTGTAAGAGTCCCCTGAACATACAATTTTTTTTGCATAAGTTCTGAATCATCCTGTATTTAGGTATGTAGGTATATAGCAACTAAATATATACGTACATAAAATTAAAAGCGTATCTTCTATTACTGTTATCTTTCTAAGATGATTTAATGTTTTTACATTAAACGAGAAAAACAATTCAATTGATTAACATATGTATAGCAATAATTAATATTATCTTTTAAGTAGGTACAACGTAGATTAAATACTACACAGTAGTAATACAATACCATTAGGTATGGGTATATCTATGTATACAAAATATTATAAAAGAAAATAATATACAAAATTTTACTTTTTATCTTTATCTTGCTTCACAAAGGAGATAGAATAGTTGTTAAACAACCAATATTTACACTTCCCAAGTGTCTATCAAAAAATTGGTCTCGATAACTTTCTTGTAGTAATAATGAGAAATTCTGGGTGTTCTAGTCTTTTGAAATCTCTCGACGTCTACACAGTACCTTTTGTTTTAAAGAAACAAACAAAGGTATCCACAAGTACAAGAATTCAGCGGAATAATGTCATAAATATTAAGTTAAATGATACATAACTTTTTGTGGGTTTCGTAAAAACAATTACAACTATTCCCATATTCATTTGTTTATGAGACTTTATCGAATTTTCAATTATTCTATTATTATTATTATTAGCTATCTCCAAAATATCTTTTATTTTGTTTGGTAAATTTTAATCATAATTTTTCAGACAATAAAATTATATATAGAAATAGAACTGCACGTACTGCGAAATTTTCTTTGTATGTATGAAATGTATGTTGGACAGACAAAATCGTAGTTCTAATATAATTATATATAATGGAATCACAACAAAGAACTCGTATGGAAAGAAATAATGAAAATACTAAAGTGGTAAACGATATTCTTAGGGATGTTGATGTGAACAAGAATAATATAAAAGTATTTCGTTTGAGAAAGTACGACTCACATAAAAATCGTCCACTTAAAGTTATTTTTAGCTCCGCTGAGGCTGCAATAGATGTTCTAAAGGCTAAGAAAAATATTAAAGTTCCTGGGATTAAAATATATGGTGATCAGACGAAGGCGCAGAAAGAGTATTACATCCATATTAAGAAAAAACTAGAAGAAATTATTTCTAATGGCGATAATTCTAAAACAATAAAATACATAAATAATAAACCAACAATTGTCACTAAAAAAGATGCAACCCATTCAAAAAACTGAATAATAATTGTAACATTCATTATAATTCTGACATTATATACGTTAACATCCAAAGTCTAGTAAATAACCGTGATCAAGTAATTAGCAGCATTGCATCCAGTAATCCGAAGATAATATTACTTAGTGAAAGTCGAACAACAAGTGATGTATTAAATGTTGAACTAAATATGGCAAGTTATACGATGTGATTCTTCGAGCAGGCATACCGGTGGAGGTGTGATCTATGTGAAAAACAATTTACAAACTACAGTTTTCAAGACAATTGTGCTTGATGGTAACTATTGGTGTAAAACTATAAGAGTTGTATTCCCCTTTTCAAAGTGGTTGATTGGATGTTTGTATCATTCTCCTTCTGCTTTGCATGCTACATTGATTGAGGATTTGGAAAATGTATTTGATAGTATGTTTTACAGTGGGAATAATAGTTTACTGATTGGTGATTTTAATTTAGATTTATTAGATAATAGTTTTTATAGCAGTAAGATTAGTAACCTTTTTAGTACATATGGTATATCCCAATTAGTCACTGAATCTACACGTGTTACTAATATTAGTTCTTCTTTGATTGATATGTACTCACTAAACAAAGTCATGTCAAAGCAACAGTTCATTATTACCCTAAAATTACTGACCATTTCATAATATCTATAGATATCAACCACTCTGTGAATGAAAAACTTAATGAAACTGTACATAAATCTTTCAGAAATTTTGATGAAGTTCATTTAACTAATATTCAAACCTAATTAGAAATGTGTAGGTGGTCATTAAACTGTGTTGACATAAATCATTTGTATGATGAGATTCTTTATAAATGTACAGAAATTGTTGACAGGGTTTCACCAATACAATATTATAAATGTAAGAATAATTTACCATGGTTTGATAATGAACTTATAAATGAAACAAAGAAGCGTGATTCTGCATATAAAGATTTTAAAAAATCTAATGAGGCAAATTAAAACTTTTTCTGGAATAATTATAAGATGTTAAGAAATAATGTGGTTAATTTGTTAAAAGTAAAGAAAAAGAGGTACTATTTTGAAAAAATTGACAGACATATCAGTAATCCTAAACTTATGTGGAAGACTATTAAAGAATTAGTCAATAGTAATGAAAAGGTTAAAATTGATTATGTACAATTTGAGTTTGGAGACCATACTATTACATGTAATAATGAAGTTAGTTTAGCTAAAAACTTTAATGTATATTTTATAAATAGTATTGAAGATATAGCTTTGAGTATTGGGAATAGAGGTACTACATGGCAGAACATAAACTACAATTTGTATCCTGGTATTTGTAAATTTAAATTGCTTACTATGTCTGAATTAAATATTCTTGTTAAAGGTTTAGAAAATAAGTGTAGTGTTAATGATATTATAAATTCTAGATTATTAAAACATATTGTGAATTCTGTAGGTCATGTAATTTTAAATTTTATTAACGTATCCCTAGAATATGGGAAATTTCCTAACAAATTAAAAACAAGTACTGTTATTCCAATACCAAAAGTTCCTAACACAACAAAAGCATGTGAGTTTAGACCAATAAATACTTTACCATCTCTTGAAAAAGTTTTGGAATTAGCAGTTTACAATCAGCTATTAGAGTACTTTGAAATGAATCATATTTTATTTAGTAACCAATCAGGTTTTCGTAAAAAATATTCATGTGAAACGGCTTTGCAACTTTCATTAACGAAATTTAAATACAACATTGATAATAACAAATTTACGGTAGCTGTATTTCTCGATTTAAAGAGAGCATTTGAGACCATTGACAGGAATATCCTACTTAAAAAGTTGCAAGGTTATGGAGTTGATGATACTGTTCTTGATTGGTTAACAGAATATTTGACTGACAGAGCACAGCGAGTAAGAATTGGTGGATCAGTATCTGACAGATGTATTAATGATATTGGTGTTCCTCAAGGCAGTGTGCTTGGGCCTTTATTATTTCTTATCTACATAAGCGATATTACACTATTTGTTAATTCTGAATTTATAATTTATTTGCAGATGATACTCTTTTAGCATGTAGTGGCCATAGTTTAATTCAGTGTATAAATACTATGAACGAAACCTTGAAGTGTGTTAATAAATACCTGCAAGTTAACAAATTAAAATTAAATGTTAATAAAGCAAAAGCTATGATAATCACAACCAAATATAGGTATAATAATATTGACATTAATGGTTGTCATTTAACTATCGATAATGAAAATATTGAATTTGTTACTGAAATTAAATATCTTGGTTTCTTACTTGACAATACACTTTGTTTTAATACTCATTTTAAATATGTTTATAATAATTTTAATAATAATAATAATAATAATCTTTATTGCCCAACAGATAACATCCATTTATAGGACAAATTGTTTACAGAAAAGTTACAATGCTTAACACGTATATATATAAGACACATCGAATGAAGTACGCAGAAGGCTAGTAATATTGTATGTGCATACAATACCCAAAAAAAGAACATATAATATTCTTATATAGAATTAAACCTAAATCAAATCACCATATCTTATACCAACAGTTTCAACTATCTGATTGAGGCTGCTAAAATTAAGATCACACAAATCTGATAT